GAATAGGGTTTTTAGTAAGACCATACTAACCAAGCGACCCAAACGCATTTGTGGGTGTTGATCGCAGAATCATCCAGCATCCAATGTTTCATGTCTTCCGGAGCATGTAGATGCAGATAATTAAAAAAATGTGAATTGTAAAATTGTTTTTAACTATACAGAAATTTTGAAAAATTCACTTTTTGCCTCAGTCAAAACCCCTATTGCTCATTTACACTGGCCAATGAGGTCAACACACTAAGTGCGGCCTCTGCACGCTCATCTAGTTAGTCAATAAAACAATGACCGACTTATATAAGCGAGGAACAGAAATTGCCTGTACGCTGCACGTAAATGTCACCGACCAGTCTAAATACGCTGTTAGAACTATGATTTCTTTCTCATTTTTATTCATATTATTTATTTATTTAATCATAACTTATACAAGGTTCATTTTTAAGTACATATAAAAAAAATACATTTTCTGTCGCTAAACAAAGCATGTGCAGAAAACAGTTGAAAATGTAAATAATTATCAAAGTATTGATGAGCGTTTGTATCCCAAAATTTGCCTTAATTAATTTAAAATTTGCATTGTGAATTATAAAAGAAATCGATTTCATAATAATAAAATCATGGAAAGAATGAAAGTCACGTACACACGCGGCTTGCTGACTAATTGATTTGCGAATTTAAATGTAAAACATTAAGGGCTCTGATACGCCTCTTCAAATTTTAGATATACTTAAAAATTAACCGTGCATAGGTTCTCCAACTTCTTCGTCAATTAAGAACCAATCGTAATATTTTCTCGAGAAATCATATTCTCAAGATGATCCTTTTTTAGGATCAGTAGCTTTTCTAAACGTAAATTACAAGTTTACTGATTCCTTAACTGGTACCTATCTAGAAAATTAAAAAAATAATTCACTGTTAATCTAGATCTTAATTCATCACATCTAAGTCATGGAAAAAATAACTAATGTCTATAAAAATATGTATAATTAAAAGATATTTTTTCTATTTAATAAATTTATCATTCACTACGCTACTTTCTATTCGAATATACAATCGACATCTGGTAACTACAAACCAAATTTGATCTTTTCAAGCCTTAACAATTAGTAAAATTAGTAAAAAACTGATTGCATTACCGTGTACTACTCGTTTTAGACCAAAATTCCAGGGCCCCAGACGTTACTCATTTTCTCTAAAACAAAATGTATAGAATAATAACTTATTGCTAGCTTATATCCATCGAGAAACTAGCAGCTATGTATACAGTCATAGCATATACTAACACTACATTATTCTATACATTTTGTTTGTGAGAAAATAAGTTGCGTCCGAGGGCCCTGGGATGTTGAAATATATAGAGGGGGACTAGTTCAAGATAATTTACTAAATAAAAGAAACAAATGATTTTATAATACATTTAATGATAGTGACAGCGATGGTTGACTCAAATACGCTACTTGGCAAAAATATTTCCACTAGAAGTGAACTATTTTAATATATTTTTAAATATTCTTTATTATGCTCTAAGTCTCTTTTATTATGCTTAATTAATTGTGTTTATAGTCAGGGCCGGATCTACAACTTTTTCAAACTGAGGCAGAAACTTTCTTCCCATTTTTAACTGTATTATATGAACTATATTATCATAATTTTGGTGCCCCTCCTGGCACTAGCGCCCGGGGCAACTACCCCCACCCCCAGATCCGGCCCTGTATATAGTTATGAAGAAAAGAATCTCAACCATCTACCCTACCAAGTAGCTGCCTAGTCCGATCATCACATGAAAATAATAATATATAATTTGTGTCCTATTTTTACATTACATTTTTTAAGACTGCCAACTCATAAAACCTCTTCATATTACACTATAAAACATGCATCGAGACATCACAAAACTAAACTTACAAGTCATAAAAGCTCATAGATTTATTTTAAGACGACTGAAATAAATACAAAATAATGTTCTAAACGAAACAATTACATATAAAACATATAATTTCATTTACTTAAAAACTAATTGTTTAAAACAAAAGCACAGCACATTGTCAGCTTAGTTACTATTAAATTAAATTAGGACCTACCACACGCTGCTTACGAGGTCGCTATTAGCCTAAAACTAGGAGCCCTAATGCTTACACTGCCACGCTATACATAATACATTATAGGCTGTGGCGCAAGTGATGAGCACTGAGCGTTAATGACAACATCTCCAACTAAAAAGTTATGTGAACAGAATTATTCAAGAAAATATGCAAATTATTCTTGATGCACGTCAAAAAATACGACTCATTCTTACTCGTCAACATTTAAGTCAAGAGATGTAAAATTTTACTGTAGTAGTCAATACTCGCGCCTCGACCTATGCCTGCCAAAATATCTCGCTTCAAAAAGTTACCTTCATCCTTTACACTCAAATGCCCGTGCTCTACCAACTACTGGAGAGAAGCACACCGAGAATTTCAAATATCCTACTATATTTCAAAGTATTTTTTATCAATATTTCTTTTAGACTTATACGTCGACTACACATTGAGCTGTCCTAGTTAGGGCCAGTATTATTGAACTATAAATTTACTAAGGCAATAAATCTCAAAATGCAAAATCAATGCCAAGATTTACCTGTTAAATATCCGAGTAAACAGTGTTCGCCGGTTCGAGTCTACTACCAAAACTCCGTACGAACAATAAATGTATAGAAAAAATGGAATGTATTTAAGTACAACAGTCTAATAAGCATTCGATAAATGTTTGATTATGATAATCTACGTACGTGTGACAAATATGATGTCAGTCAACGCTTATCAAATTATTTAAGGTGGCGGCCCCAGTACACAAGCTCCTACAGAGATGACACATCTATTTGAACCATGCATTAATTTAAATTTAAGACAGTCATATCACCAAAAACGTCTTGCAGTAGAACCGCGACCTTAATGAAGAACAGATTTTTTAATTCTCAAGTGCGTACGTCGAAATAGCTATTAATTATTTTTGATATTTTCATAATTTAACTCGATTACTTATAGGTAAATGTAAAATATACATATGTTTACAGGAATGGAGGCAAGTGGCGGGTTATATAATGAACGCTGAAAGTGGTATTCTTACAAACACTAGTAAATAACGAGGCATTAAACTATATGTGTACTTGTTAAGTGTAGTTACGACATTACTAAAAGGATGGAATATACATTAGATGAGCTATATACTAAGCGCCCTGTGGTTGTCGAGCGCGGCCGTGGACATTCTCTAACGTTCTGATACGCGCGGTACATACGCCGCTAAAATATTCATGATAATATTTAAATTACCGAACAATTTGTCAACATTCAAAATATCTACCGCGCATCCCAATCGTGTAACGAACGCCTATCATAATATTCGTTTTCAATTAATTTTTACAGATAGATATCTCGTCGATTATTGTTCAAAAGTGGATGGAGATAATAAATCGAGGACAATTTCATTTTCTAATAACACATTTTATATATTTTTATTATTATTATTAATTTACAGCGTGCCGTTTATACTATTGCACACATTTATACAAATATCAGAAATACCTACACAACCTAATGGATATAATTCTCTAGATCAAGTGATAAGCGATTTGCTAATTAAACTAATATTTTGATTTGTCTTGCGTAGAAATTAATTTGCGTGATTATAATCTCGACTTTGTCTATAATCCTAAACTATAAAAATACATCATAATATAGGATACATCACCAATGCTTAAATTAGTATCCGCTTATCGCTTGGACCACCGAGAAAATTTAATAAACATTCTGGGATTTAAGATTTCCGTCAAATGGCAAGTGTACTAAGTACAAGTCTTTTTTTAAGGACGAAGATGTAATAACTGGACGATTTTATAAAATTCCATAGGGTATAAATTTTTTGACAAAATGATTACAAAAAAATTATACAATTTTTGGTAAGGGCAAAATTCACGTGGCAAGAAACTATCACAATTATTCACTGGCAATCGTGTCACTTTCACACATGAGCAATCTGAGGTCGAAATTAAAGTACGTAGTCGTTACAAATAATTCGAAAAGAAAATGATTCAAGTTCGATTAAATGCGGTGTCTGAAAAAATTAAGCGGCGCTTCACACACAGTCTTTGTATTCCACGGGGGGAACACAAAACTGTGAAGCCATATAGACAAAAAAGCATAGTCAATGAGTTAAAAAAAAATACATAAATAATTTACAATAACATCTAAACCACAAACTATACAGTAAAAAACTCTATACAAATAATCGAATCCTATCATCACCGATCACAAAACTCTCTCATTGGTTCCAAAATTATCAATAATTCACACACAAAATAATTCACATATTTACACATAGAAATTAATCATTAAATTAAAAATCACATTAAATTCCTCGTTCTATTTACAAATATTAAAAAAAAAATCACGTCAACGAATAAAAACTGTCGAATCAAAAAAATATATATACTTGTACCAAAATAACGAATCGCAAACTCGCGGAAACGGCCATGATGTGCCTGCGTCAACCGTTGACGTGACATGATCAACGGATGGGAGACAATCGCATTTCCTCAATCAACCAACAACATTTGCAACGGAAACGATAACAAACAAACGCATAACATATTGCTTTACCGACGCTTACAATCGAAAGGTTACTACTAGCCACATTCCCGACTCCATCAAATTTAGAAATTGAACTCTACATAGCTGCCTTTAAAGTATACTTTTACATGACAAATTCTACCTGACACTGAAATAGGTACATCCAAAATTCAGAAAATCTTCGACAATTTATCTTACAGAAAATCTTTGATTTCAGTTGGTTGGGAATGAGCTTACGTGAAAAATGAAACAACATATATTACATATGAAGCACCATACGCGTTACACGACTGCAACAAAAAAACCTGAGTCAATATTTATACACCATTAGCGCATTGGACGTGTTGTGTAATTGTATCCAGGCGCAGGCGTGGTTCGGTGAGAGCGCGCGACAGTCTATTTGCTCCTGGCTTTGCCTACTGAGTTTATGCTCTCGCCGCGACTTCTCGATCTGTGCAAATTGTGTAGGCCTTCACCTGTAACAAAAAAAATATATAAACCATCAGCTTAAGGTTCTGGGCTTGAGTCAGAGACCGGAACGTTTAAAGCTCATAGTCACAGTAGATATAAAAGGTAGCTATTTAAATTCGTGGTAGCCTGTCCGTCTTTACTCACGCCACTACAGTGAAGGACAGCTATATACAGAATATCAAATTTCGTTAAATTTTGTTCTGCCATACTCCTTTTACTAGAAGAGAGTGACACGATTTCCTGTCCCTCTCTTTAACTATGGGAATGCTAGAGGCCTGATTTTTATGACCTACTATTTTATCTATATGGTCGTCTTGTCAATGAAATAAGTTGATATGTTAGCCGATATACGTTAGTGGATATTTATTTAATTCTGTTTTTAGTATAGTATTCGCGAGAAGTCCCTTTCTTGCCGCCGTAGTCGCTATGTAGCTCGCTGGAGAAGAAAGGGACGGGTATCCGTTCTAAACTTTTTGATAATTCCGCGAATACACCTGTACGTTCAAGGCCAACCTAGAATATTCTGGATCGTAACCTAAAACATTCTAGGCAAGTTACCTCGGCCCAGCAAGTAACAATACGTTAAAGACATTTTTTGTGTCGCGGATGTTGCCTTTGTGTAATGTGTACTGACCCTTGCTGGCGGCCCGCTTGAGCTCTGTGTCGCGGATGTTGCCTTTGTGTAACGTGTACTAACCCTTGCTGGCGGCCCGCTTGAGCTCTGTGTCGCGGATGTTGCCTTTGTGTAATGTGTACTGACCCTTGCTGGCGGCCCGCTTGAGCTCTGTGTCGCGGATGTTGCCTTTGTGTAATGTGTACTGACCCTTGCTGGCGGTCCGCTTGAGCTCTGTATCGCGGATGTTGCCTTTGTGTAACGTGTACTAACCCTTGCTGGCGGCCCGCTTGAGCTCTGTGTCGCGGATGTTGCCTTTGTGTAATGTGTACTGACCCTTGCTGGCGGTCCGCTTGAGCTCTGTATCGCGGATGTTGCCTTTGTGTAATGTGTACTGACCCTTGCTGGCGGCCCGCTTGAGCTCTGTATCGCGGATGTTGCCTTTGTGTAATGTGTACTGACCCTTGCTGATGGCCAGCTTGAGCTCTGTGTCGCAGAAGTTGCCATTGTGTAACGTGTACTGACCCTTGCTGGCGGCCCGCTTGAGCTCTGTGTCGCGGACGTTGCCTTTGTGTAACGTGTACTGACCCTTGCTAGCGGCCCGCTTGAGCTCTGTGTCGCAGAAGTTGCCATTGTGTAACGTGTACTGACCCTTGCTGGCGGCCCGCTTGAGCTCTGTGTCGCGGATGTTGCCTTTGTGTAATGTGTACTGACCCTTGCTGGCGGTCCGCTTGAGCTCTGTATCGCGGATGTTGCCTTTGTGTAATGTGTACTGACCCTTGCTGGCGGCCCGCTTGAGCTCTGTATCGCGGATGTTGCCTTTGTGTAATGTGTACTGACCCTTGCTGATGGCCAGCTTGAGCTCTGTGTCGCAGAAGTTGCCATTGTGTAACGTGTACTGACCCTTGCTGGCGGCCCGCTTGAGCTCTGTGTCGCGGACGTTGCCTTTGTGTAACGTGTACTGACCCTTGCTAGCGGCCCGCTTGAGCTCTGTGTCGCAGAAGTTGCCATTGTGTAACGTGTACTGACCCTTGCTGGCGGCCCGCTTGAGCTCTGTGTCGCGGACGTTGCCTTTGTGTAACGTGTACTGACCCTTGCTAGCGGCCCGCTTGAGCTCTGTATCGCGGATGTTGCCATTGTGTAACGTGTACTGACCCTTGCTGGCGGCCCGCTTGAACTCTGTGTCGCGGACGTTGCCTTTGTGTAACGTGTACTGACCCTTGCTGGCGGCCCGCTTGAGCTCTGTGTCGCGGCTGTTGCCTTTGTGTAATGTGTACTGACCCTTGCTGGCGGCCCGCTTGAGCTCTGTGTCGCGGACGTTGTCTTTGTGTAATGTGTACTGACCCTTGCTGGCGGCCCGCTTGAGCTCTGTGTCGCGGACGTTGCCTTTGTGTAATGTGTACTGACCCTTGCTGGCGGCCCGCTTGAGCTCTGTGTCGCGGCTGTTGCCTTTGTGTAACGTGTACTGACCCTTGCTGGCGGCCCGCTTGAGCTCTGTGTTGCGGCTGTTGCCTTTGTGTAACATGTACTGACCCTTGCTGGCGGCCCGCTTGAGCTCTGTGTTGCGGCTGTTGCCTTTGTGTAACATGTACTGACCCTTGCTGGCGGCCCGCTTGAGCTCTGTGTCGCGGCTGTTGCCTTTGTGTAACGTGTACTGACCCTTGCTGGCGGCCCGCTTGAGCTCTGTGTTGCGGATGTTGCCTTTGTGTAACATGTACTGACCCTTGCTGGCGGCCCGCTTGAGCTCTGTGTCGCGGAAGGCGCGCGCGCTCCTCCCGCGTCGGTCCTGCGCGAGCTTGTCCGGCCGCACGAAGATGCCGTGCCGCTGACGGCACTCGAAGTACCGCGTGCCGCCCACTGAACCGTCGTTCTTACCTGTATAATATATGCAAAACTTGATCTCGCAAAAATCCAATATCTATACTAATATTATAAAGAGGAAAGATTTGATTGTTTGTTTGTTGGCATCGAATAGACTCCGAAATTACTGGACCGATTTTAAAAATTCTTTCAACTTCGAGAAGCTACGTCATATGCGGTGAACATAGGCTATACTTTATTCCGAAAACCTGCAAATAAAGGGATGAAAATGGGAATGAAAGTTTGTATGGGGAGTTAAAACGTCATCATGGTACCGTCGTCTACTAGCCAATTTATCATTGTAACTATCTCCATGTCGTGATATGAATCGATATCCAAATAAACAATTCCCTAGAGATCACGCGGGCGAAGCCGCTGGCGGAAAGCTTGTTTATAATGAATATCAATATAAAAGCTTAGATTTTAAAGCTGCTTGTGGCTTAATTTGATATTTGAAATTTCGAATTTCTATTAAGACTGCTACGTCGGGCCCATGTTGCCAGCGTCACATCGGGTTTCCCATCATTTTATTGTACAAAAACACTTGAATACCTTCTGCCAAACTCAACATTTAAGTATATTAAAATTATGTGCTGAGCCCCTTCTTAATATAAAACTGTAATGCTTTTTTCTAGTGTCATTTACCGGTAGGCGCATCCAAAGCAACGCCCACCCAGGGTCCATGTGCGAAATGTGTGGGTCCGATGTACGCGACCACGCCCGTACTATTGCTCAGCCGCAGCGATACACACTCGCCCAACGTCATCCACTCCGGTACTGAGATCACGCGACCGCCTTCTAAAGAATCGTCTGCGTACATACATAACCAACATACTATATCACTATTTGGAAAAAAAAACAAAGAAAAGGACCAAAATAAAATAATTTTATGATTTCTATTGTCATACCGAACTAAACACGAAATCTTTATATTCCTGTGTAGTAAAATAAAATCCGTTTTATTATAAAAACGAAGACTTACTTTATTACCATTATCCGATCAAATTAAGTTAACACGTGTAAATTTGACGTTTTCGCTTATGTCATTATAATTGGCTTTAAGCGACCAATAGTTCAAACTAAGTATTGTATGAACTTAACTCTTCGTTTTATAAAGGTTGAAAACGCAATTTGTTTCAGTATGGTTATTTAACCTATAGGAAAACAATAATACTGAATTATTTATGATGCCAAAATTATTATAAAGCACTATTATTAAACATCATGACATATACTGAGGGGAGCTCGGGTAAAAAGGAGGAGGGATAAAAACAGGAAACATGCGTCTGATTCCAAAAAGGTTAAATATAATTTGTTACGATCATTTCTGCTTTAGAATAAAATTTATGTAAATATTTTTTAACATTAGTTCGTTTTCGTCTTCAATCCACGTTGATTTAAAATATCATACTCTCTCTAGTCGTGCACTTTGACGTTACGACAAGCGCGACGAATATTTTTTTATCAATAACAATTGTTACTAAATTTTATTTTTTCGGTACAGAGTATTTTTCAGTTATATAACGATGTAAATTATCATATGAAAACATAAAAAAATGTGCACATTCCCTATTCCGGCGATACATACAGAGGGGAAAGATAAAAAGATAAGAGAGGGAAATAAAATGTAGGTCACGTGATAATGTTTAAGTACGTTACCATCAACGATACGTTCGGTGGACGAGGCGGGCGTGTCCCGCAACGTCTTGTGCGCGGGCGCCGCGCCCGGCTCCACAGCGGACCGCGGCCGCGCCCCGCGCCCCCTCGCCCCGCCCGCACGCCTCCTTACCACCTAACCGATCATTCACATATCTTGTATTAACGATTATTAATATTGAAGTTATAGTAATTTGTATTATGTCCTTAATATTGCTTTATTAATAACGTGTCCAAGATTTTTTGCAATAAAGAATATTAATATTTGCTAAATTACTAACATAAGAGGTCGTAGTCATCGAAGAAAAGAAATGAAGTACAGAATTTCAATTATATCTGGGTAAACAAAGTTGCACTTTGCGTGTTATAAGCAACATATCTTTCCATAATTTCATCCAACTTATCTATAAACTAACAACTTACACTTGAATGCATTCGACTCGAATCGAGTCAAATCGATTCGAAATTTGAAAATTTCTGTTCTCATGTCAAAAATTTTTTCAACAATATAAATCAACAATTTGATCAATTCTACCCCGTAGGGGATAAAATAGGGGATGAAAGTTTGTATGAAACTTTGTCAATTTTAGACCGGTCGGGCTGAGACTCCGCATGCATAAAGCTACTATGACGTAGGCATCCTCCTAAGAACGGATTTTGATTAATTCTACCACCACGGGGATAAAATTGGGGATGAAAGTTTGTATGAAACTTTGTCAATTTTTTAACCGATCGGGCTGAGACTCCGCATGCAGAAAGCTACTATGACGTAAGCATCTCCTAAGAAAGGATTTTGATAAATTCCATCACTAAGGATATAGTATATTACACGACATAATGAATAAAATTCGTTAGAGAATGCTGCTCAAAGTAACTTTACCACGCGGACGAAGTCGCGGGCAAAAGCTAGTTTATTTTATAAAATCATTCTTTTATCATATCCCATCGGGCGCGGGTTGTGACCCGTTGGAACTATTTTGAATAATTAATATTTTGAATTAATAAGATAAGGATGATGATTATACTTTTGTATTACAGCATATACTTTACATTACACTTTTATACATTATATTATACATTATATATTATAATTATTCTATACATTATACTTTTGTAGTACAGCATTTCATATTTCCTTTTCCTAAATATTACCTTTTTTGCATTTTCCGCCCTTTGACTATTTTGCGTAAAATGGTCAATATAGAAGTTCGTGATTTTGGAATCAAAAATACATTAATATTTTTACGTATTGAATAGTGCAGAATAACTATTGGCATCTTTCGTAGCGGCTTCGCTTTTTGTGAATTGTGTTGTACTTTTAAATTAAACTCCTAAACCAGGGCTCGGAAACATTATTCAAAATAACGTTTTTAAAACGTTTCTTATGGTTCTTTGGGCAAGATTGCGTTCGAAACGAAAACAAAATGAGAACGCTTTAAAAAACCGGTTTAATCCACAAGACGGTGCCGCGCGGGCGGCGTACGTTTATTTTATTACGTTATTTACAGTATGCGATGCAAAAAAACGCAAAATAAATGGTTAAAAACGTTTTATTAACCGAAAACAATATAATTCTGTTTTTTTTCCAAAATCGTTTTTTATATCGTTCTGTTCGAACGAAACCGAAACAAAGTGTTTTTTAGGTATTTAAGATGAAAACGTTTCGAAAAATATACCGGTTTCCGACCCCTGTCCTAAACGGTTTGCTTTTGGAGCACCTACCCTATGTAATGTAAGATGTAAAACTTTTGTTCGTGAATATATTACTAACTTTTCCGGCAGGCAGGTGTGTCCTGATCGGCGCGAGATCTGGTCCCGGCGAGGCGGAGTCACTCTCGCCCACCGAGGACGCCTCGCGACTCCTCTCCGCCTCGTGGCTCGACTGTTCCGAACTCAACGATTCCGCTTCTGCCTCACCTGTATTACAGACAACGAACAGATTGAGTATCACTATTTATCGATTGCGTTAAGAACATCCCTATCCATCACTTAACTGTCACATTGACTTGAAATGTATGATCTCGAGAATCGTAAATAGAAGCACGTAGGATCATGCTTTGGAAAGCAAATTAAACCATACCTGGCTGCATCTATAATACGACGAAAAATCTACGAATCCTCATTGGACTTGCGTGGTCCATAGGAAGACCTATGCGTCAGCAATTTTAATGCCCCTAACATCGTTAATGCAAGAAGGCAAAACAAAAAAAAAAGCTCATGTTAAGCTAATGTTACGTTTTATCTGTTTTTTTCTGCGTAAACCACTGATAAATAAATTAAATTAAATTATCGGAGTTACATACAAAGCTTATTAAAAATATATTTATATAGTTGTTATTTAGAATACAACAATTGTTGATGAAATTAGATAAAAACATTGTAAGACCCGAAAAAGGACATTTTAGTGACCACGCGAACTAAACATTTACTTACCAAACGATGATTCGTGAGGGACCTCTCCATTCATATGCATCGGTTCAGCAGCACCCTTGCTCAACTGACTAGACAGGGTGTGGCTTTCAACGGGCAGAGCTCCCAACGGATCGACCAACACGTCCGCCGCATGATCCACCGACTGGTCGACCGACAGATCCTTATCGGCATCATCGCAGTCTCTAAGGAAGGGGTTAATTCGATTCCTAGAGCCGGGAGTTAGTACTGGTGTTTTCGCCTTCTCAAAGGATGTGTCGTCCAACTCATTCTTCGATTCGACAATTTCGTTCTTCAGTTCTGTGATGTCGTTTCTCAGTTCAGTGATTTCACTTCGCAAGCCGGCGACTGAGTTTTTAGTTCGACTGAGTTGTGTACAGTCCATGGTCCTGTCGAAATCCGGCGTATCGTCTACGGACATGCTCCTTATTGAGAGTGTATCGTCGTTTGTTAAATTTGTTGATGAGACTGCTTGAGAGCCTGAAATGGAATATAACATTTAGTTGATCATATACATAAGAAACAATGTTGTAAAATATCTCCACTGATGCAATCACATATTTTATCTTCCGTTAGGTCAAGGGATTACGTCACGTTACTTAGTCAATAAAGGAAAGCACTTCTAAAATCAACCCTTTAGTGTCTTACAAATTAATTAAAAACCACCATTACCTCAAATAACAAAATTGTCAATTATAACAATGTTACTCCAAGGACAATTACTATAAGCGAATTTGTAATACTCAAACAGGAAAATGTTATCTTATTGCCTACATTTAAAACACGATTTTATTTACAAAGTGTGTTAATAAAATAACTTACCATATCCACTGGATGATATAGAGGGAGAGTTCTTGCTTGGAGCCCGTTCGCACGCCAACTCGTGGAGAGAATCTAAAGTTTTCGATGTCGGTAGGAAACCACGTGGTGTAGCTCTAGCGCGTGTACGCTACAGTAATAAATAAAAGAATGATAGATTCATTTTTGGAAAATTCTAGAAACACAATAAATAATTCAGATATCGTTACAAAATCAAATGTTTCGAATTCGGATATAGAAGAATAATGACATCTTTTTTTTTGTAAATTACGGCTATACATCTGAGTTGAAATGTCGCATGAAGCTTTGTACATAGTTGTGAGGTAAGGAGCGCCCACTCCTTAACTTTAATGCACAGTATCTAATATTTTTCTATAATCTGATTGACGGACTTTGATTTCAGTGTTTACAGGCTATTGCAAACAGTTACCATTTTTAATTAATCATATTAGAGTTAATTCTTTGGAAGAACAGTAAAAAAAAATAACAAACATTTTTTATTCTTTCAAAATCTACTCACGTTTGATCGCGGTGTGGACAGCTCATCCGTGGGCGCGGACTCGGGTTCAGAATGTGAATCGTCGTCATTTCTACGGCCGGGCTCTTCGTGTAGTGTAGTCATACGCAACCCTAACTTGCCGCTCGCAGGAGACGCTACAATAGTGTTTATTACGTTAGTGTTAAAGCTCTAAGTAGTATAAACCGAAACAGTAATAACTCTACTGATGACGCAAAACAAAAGATTGCTTTACTATATAAAAATAAAGTTACAATAAGAAATTAAATTAAAAGTAAATGGAGTAGATGCTGTTTTGTTACTTTAACTCGCACCAAAACATTGATGAATACAATGACTAAAACTATTATAATATTTAACCATAGAGCTACTATATTACTGTAAGAGATCATAGTGAAACGATTCAGTTTGTTTATAGATATCCTTTAATATACAAGCGTCAGAAGAATGAGGCAGATATTAGTAGCTCTATGTAATTATGTAAAATAATAACAAAAAAGTGTAAATGAACTTAAAACAAATAACTTTTCTTTTAAAAATAACTCAAATTATTATCATCATAAAGAAATCCACAATATAATAAATATATTTGTCCATATAAAAATATCTATTAATCAAACGCTTTGTATTACAGATATTTTTTAATCCAAGCAAATGATTTCATGGCTAAACAGTCATTACTTTATTACGTGAGTTATAGGTCCAATTCAATAACTAGCCCTTTTATAATGAAGAATTATAACGAATATGGAATTATTAAAAAATGGTTAAAAAAATAGTTCGTTTGAACTATTGATATCAACACCTTACAAAGTTCATCATGAAATGTATCAAAATAATAAAAGCTTATTAAGATTTAGGTTCAAACTAATTTGTATTTTCATTCTACACAATATAAAAAAAATAGCCATTAATGACTAATTTAATGTTTCCATTTCATGAATAAGGACATTGCACATATTATTCTCTTAATTTCATTTGAATTATTAATATTGTAATGCAGGATCCCTTGAACTAGATTTGACCGAGCGCCAAGAGGCGCGTCAGTCTAAAACCCATTCATCTTTCCCTTCGTAACGTTCGTAACTTTTTTAATAGGTATATTTTCAGTGTTAAATAAGTACTATATACGTTTTTAAATAATATTTGAGGTTGAAAAAGGAGACACATGCTGTCCTTGTCGTTCCCGAATGTTTTCAGTTTACTAGATTTGACGTTACGCGATTTTTCATTCCCATATCTAAGTAAACTTCCATAATAATTATGCCATATTCAGCAATTAATTATAGGCTATTACGATAAAAATATAAATAATAAACGTAAGTAGCAGACCAGCTTTTTCTAAGTTTGTAACGGTTTGTCGTACCACCGTTTATTTCGTCCTAGGTTTCCGCATGCAAACTGTGTCTTAGATTTTATTATTATTCACTTTTCGTAATTTGAATTTTTGAGTAATCCAATATGTTCTTTATGAATGTCAGTTCGTGAAAAATTTATCCCACGAGAACATGATAATTTAATCATATTATCATATTAAATATATCTAATATAAACTATTATTATTTAAATAAGATCAATAATAATAATTATCAGGTCTGCGAGCCTGCCTAGCCTAGCTAAGTAACCGTACACTGTTTGGAAATAAATAATGTAAACGTATATCTTCGTGAAATATCTACTAAGTTCTACCTATTACGGGAAACCCAGAAACAGGGTATGTTATTATTCAATTTTTTAAATATATTAAGGTAATCATACAAACTGTTTTATATTCCTTTTTTGTTTATTACAGTTTTTTTTTTGTTGCCCTTTAATAAATGAAGTTCTCAAGCTTAGTCAGCCTTTTATTCATTTGCCTAAGCATCGAACCCGTCACAACTGGCGCCCAACGTGACCTTATAACCCTAATACCCCTATCTATTTTTATATACGGCTTGTGTTGTTATAAACACACTATCTATTATCTGCAACACATTCATCAGTGTTACCACTATTCAGTCTATAATAAAATAGTTATATGCAACATATTCTGTACGGTGCCTTACATATAGTGTAGATATTCACATAATTTACAATTTAATTATATGGAACAGAACTCGCAACAAACCAAACTCAAAACAAAACAAACCAAAACTATAAGAACAAGCCAAAACTAGCAATAACTACTAGGCTTAATATCTGACGTACACTTGTTTGGCGTTTGCAGTCGCAGTGAGTTCAGGTTCAAATTCAAGTTTAGGAACGTTGGCCGAGCTGCAATAGAAACATTCATTAATCTGTCAGTAAAAATACCTTTTGTAATGCACAAATATCACCTACAATGACTATAATGTCAAAGAAAAGTGAGAAAATGAGAAAACAACCTACCAAGTTTGACTATACTTAAAGGATAATTCACATTGAACATTGAAACTCATTGAAATTATTTGAAAATTATACCAAAATATTATTCTTTTACGATTGACAAAATTATTTAATTATTCATGGAATTAATACAATTTATATAACATGTTAATTTCCTCCGTTAGCCAATTATGGATACACTCCAATAATATTAAACAGTAACTCTTAATTAATTATTACAAACAAAGTAAATAGTGCACAATACTAATTATTCGGTGATATTCCTACACAACACAATCAACTATATTACTTATTGCATAAGTACCAACAATTACTTTATCATAGACAACGTTACTCCACAATTCTATAGTCCATGCTTTCTTTACGTAAAGATTGGTGGAAACATTTTACATTTCAAAATACTGTCTTGCACGCTACAGTTTCATGCAATCATTACTTAACACATACACACAAACCTACAATTTATTTCGTCAATCTATTTCTACTTTGACATCTCTAAAGATACTGACGTCACTGCCTTGTATATTACTATAATACACTTAAATATTTATTACACTATAAAGAATATTGTTACTTTTGGCTATGTTTTGATTAGACCTATACATTTTCTATGTATTATGTATAGCTATATTTTAATATATTCTCCAAAGCATTAATAACGCTTCTGAATTACCCACAGCAATTATATCAACGTAGAGGAAAGGAAACGGGGATAAATACAGGCATGCTTGGTTCATGCAAATGAAAGAGACACGCAAACAAACAGATAGAGAAACACAACGACAGAAGCTAGCCCGATGCCGGAAGCCTGTAGGTAATTTAACTCTATTCGCCAATTAATAGGGTCTAATATTGTGTTACAATTGTAAATTAAAAAGTTTGTTATTTTTTATCACTTTGGACTGGTTATGTGCACTCACTTGGAACATGTTTATGTGGTCGTTTAGTTTTGACACTTCATAATCATTCTTAACTTTATCAACTCAAAAGTTTGAGTCGATTGAATGAAAGATGAACAATCTTTCAATTGAACGCTTTTCAAATTACTTTAATCTTACTCAAAATATATACTCAAACTTTCGAAAACTATTGCATGACATTTTAAAGTAAATCATCGTGCACATGTTCAAAATTGGCGCTTAATATCGCACTAAAGCCCATCAATAGATTTTATAACAGCCAATTTACACATAAATAATAATGTCGTTAATTAACAATAATCACAACACATCTATGGACTTCCATTATTCATGTTGCATTAAACATTCGTCTAATAATTTCGCCATACATTGCCATTCCGAGTCAAGACAATATTGTTTTCTCTGTTTACCTGATAGGAACGAGCCTGAAGGTAGCGGGGAATCGAGATAAAGAAAATACAGCGTTAGTTTAAACCGAATCCAAATGTTTAACGAAATTTCACGGCCGAAAATCATTTATTTTATTGGTATTGTCTATAAAATGTAATTCTGATAAGTAAGTTTACAATTAGAAGCATTCAATATAAACTTATGCGCTATTTTTGTTTACCTCTTCGCCTCACAATGTAAACTAAATATTATCAAAACTCCATTTTGACAAAGAGAACGTTACAAATAAATTAGAAAGAGACAGAGTTCAAAATCTCCACCCCATGATGCTTCAGGAAGTGAAAGAGAAGAAATGGGACAGACAAAGATAGAGAAAGTTCGATTGAGCCATAGCATTGCCACAAAGCAAGTTGAAATAAAAATGTAATCGTGAATTTATGAAGAAGTGGAATGTAGTTTCGTTATGATAGCTTAGTGGATTATGATCTACCTACTAGTTTTATGTCTGAATGATCTTATTCTTGTTTCATATCTCGAATATAAACTCTATAACAAATACTTCTGTCGATTCAAAACTATGCTAAATACCTTTATGCTATAAATAATGTCGTGCATCGTATATATAAGATTTGTTCTATGTAAGTTCTAATATCGTCATGATTATTCAGTCTACTCGGTGCACTAATCTTGTCTAAATACCGTATAAATACATATTATGTATACAATCATAAATAACATATATATAAAGCATCTTCTGTGATGTATAATTTAAACTATCAATGCAAATGTGCTCTGATTCGCTCTGTGATACGTATGAATGACGGAAAAATAGAAATGAATGTATCGGAAAAAGGAGTGTATCTTTTGAAGAATACAATGCTGAAAGAGAGAGAACAGTAACACTGTACAATTATATTTTTACGGATAAGATATCGCCGACGACATATTATTTATAAATCGTGTGCCTTAAGATTTAGTAAAATGCTAATTAAAAAACCTTCAACGTCTCTTCTACTCAAATATAAAATAGCTAATCACAATCTTTAAAAGATTTTCAAGATTCTTCAAACTTGCTGCTATTTCACAAAAGAGTCGTTAGTTGGCACCGTATGAAATTCCAGAATTCTCTCGTTTTGAATATGCATTTCTAAGTTTCTTGCTAGGTGCCAACACTTACGTAATACAGTGGCAATAAATTATGAAAAGCACTTATTAATGTGATTAATCCTTGCATCAATGTCAGAGAAACCTACAATTTACATGGTCTGAGAATTCAGCAGTATTAGATTATCCAAATAATCAGACACAATAACAGACAATCGTTGTTACGGGTATATTTCTTTAGACACAAATTACAGTGTAATTATCTAAAAGCAGAAAAAATCCAACTCACCTAAACCGAAAGGTTTTGTGGGTGTGGTCATGTCAGAATCAGCGGGTGCAGCGTACGAGTGCCGATGTACTGGTCTACGCGGCGTTTCCTCCGCTAGGTCCGCAACGCTGCCAGATCGTCCGCTCGCCAAACCAGCCAGGCACTCCAGCGATGAGTCCAAACGCATGATCTAAATCATACGCCTTTATTTAGCATCATTTACGCCATATTTACTACGGTCAAGAAAACGAGGCATAATTTACACAAAAAATCTTTAGAATTCTCGCGGAATGATCAATGTCCATTGATCATTTTGAAACTTAATATATAGAAACTTAAGTCTTAAATCAATCGTATAATTTTGATATTTTGTGGGAACCTTATGTATAACAGAACGTAACATCGAAGTCGACAAATTATACAAAGATCACATTTATGTATTTTGTTTGAAAGAATTCAAACAAAATACATAGTGGAAATAACGGTACCCTAAAGGTAGTAGAGATTCTCTATAGCGGTTACAAATTAGATTAAATAAGACGTTAAGAAAAAATACTTTTGCAACCAAAATAATCAGAAAAAGTAAATCAGAAGAATATATTATGTGCACCATTTGTAGAAATTCTTTGTGCCTTCATATCTGTGCGACAGTCCACCACAGTTTATAGAGAAATTACCTCTTGTGACTCTTTTCGTGCAGATCCCGCAAATAAAGATGATGCAAATATTGTGAGTTTTTATGTATACCGTGAACCATCTGCGTAATCACGACATCTTTTACCTTTTAAAAAATCTGTTATTTGGAGTGGATAAGGATTATTTTTTTATTAGTTTTAGGCAAGCAAAGCTGCACATAGAAGCTATTATGCATATACATATATTAAAATTATCAGTATATTTAATAAAATACAAGGCGTTTCGATATATTCGCCAAAATAAATGTGTGCCCCTTTTGTATAAAAATAATAATTGGACACAGCTTGCCTTAGGGTATTGTAAAACAGCAGTTAAATAAACATTGAGACTAAAAAAATGCACTGCAAGAATTATAAGCGAGAGAAATGTACTAAACATTTTAACATAAAATGTAGCACACATAATTATAGATATCCAAAAGAAGCGCTACAATTATAGTTGCGTCAGAATGCTTTTTTTTTTGTAATTTTGAAGTAGCAGTAGTATATCTCAGCGCGTGTGTATGCGCTGTCCCCTCGACTTGGTTAGATTTCTATACATCACTAAATTTACATTTAACTCTCAAACAACTAAAATAACATAACACATTATTTTTCGGCTGAGGAGGAGAGATTTTCAGTTATCAATATAGATGATAACTACAGATCCAAAATACAAATCCAATAAAACCTTATTCTAATACACATAAGGATGAATATGTAATAACAAATTATCTTTTCGTATTTCATTGCGTTAATATTGTGTGTGCGCTAAGCGAGTGAGATAGTTGCTTTCACAATCAGCCAATGGCAATGTAAAATATGAAAATTTATTACCTATTGGTTGAAATAAAATCTTCGAAAACAAAGTTTACTACGGTAGTATATCTTTTCAAAAGTTACTACTTCTACTATTTATATGTTGATTTGAAATTAAGACTAAGTGTCAGTATGTCAATCTAACTATCTATTACTAAATGGCGAGAACAGATGATTTGACATGGAGCCTATCGGTGTCAGTAGATCGATCTATGTACAGTAAGTTACAACTAACATGACCCATACTTAATCGTTGTTTGCGCAAAGCGAACTAATTCCGACGTAACGTACAATTAAAATATAGTTATGCCGAGTCTTGTTTCAATAATAGTTAGGTCCAAATTACAACGTGTTTCAGTTTCCCTTACTTAATTTAGTTTGCGCACTACCCGCGCAAAAATAAAAAAATAATTAATTTGAATTGTCCCGGCGAAAAAATCAATCACGTGACATTTCAAGCCGAGACGTCTCATGAGTATACATGAGCTACACGACACTACACGACACACGAAAATAAATTATACTTAAAATTTATTTTCAAATAAAAAATACTACATAGTTATAGTTTACATAGAAGTTTCCGTTTCTAATATACATTATGAAATAATATAATGTATTGTAATGTGTCAAGTAGCCAATTCTTGTTGGCCGAAATGAGCCGCGTCTTCAAAAATTTACTCTTCTACGGGTACATCAGTGAGCCACATTAGTTGTACCTTACTATACTAAATGGCGAGTATATAATGAAAGAGACAGATAGAGTTAGCGTGCATGGATGCCATGCTTTGGACTCACGTTGGTTCCGTTCTTGGCCGCGTTCTCGAGCGCCTGAGAGAGCTGCGCCACGCGACAACACACAAGTTAGCAAGCGGACGACGACTATTGCCACTCACACATTTGATATTCAACCTTATTCCTTTACAATAATGCACCTTTTCATTCTCAAATATTAATTTCAACAATTTCGTATAGTTTAATCTTCTGGTGTTCGAATATCAAATGCGTCAAGTTAATATTAGTAAAGTTAACTCTAATGTCAGTGAAAAAAAATCAGTAATATAATTTTATGTACACAGTGTTATTTCACAAAAAAAAAACTGTTAACTAGCTTTTAACTATGTGACTGCGTATTCTGTGATCGGTGTTAGTGGGCACATCGACTAGCTTCATAGAGGCTGATAAATTCAAGCGCGTCTTCTCATTGCAATACACTGAATAGCGTTTCTTTAATGGTTAGTAAGCAACACTGATATCGGTTAATATAATCGTTAAAAATTAATACATGTGACAATTTATATAATAATCAGGCATAAAATATATTTTTAAATTCATACAATTCGAAAGATGCACTTAATCATAGACAATAATCATTTATAATCAATGTATGTATAGACATAGTATAGACTATCCAAATCTGTGAAACAATCGTTAAAAATCTTACTAACCATACTAAATTGAACAGTGAAACTATGTGCATCTCTATCGTTTTAATACTCTATACAAATGGTCGGTAAGTCTAATTTGGTTTGAATATGTAAAAAATAGTATACCTGTGAGAAGTTTGGCACAGAGGCGGTTTTGCGCATAGTGATCGGTTGTCCACGCGCTTGTTCCAGTTCCTTCACGGCGACGCTTTGTCGAAGGCGATCTAGAGTTAGTATACTCTCTACGGCGCTCACTCCGCGCGTGTATTTTTCTAATGAAAAATCATAAATATTTACTTAATTTTAGAGTCACGTTCACAGATCTATAAATCTGTAATATATCTGTTACGTTATTTTGTTGAATTTTAAGTCCAAACCGTAGATAAAAACCTTGATGATCTTTTAATCTATGTATTATTATTCGAAGTATTATTATTATGGAAATCATGCAGAGATCTGAAGTTTTCAGTTATAAGAATAGGTAAACTAATATACACCCAAAATTTTTGATGAAACATAACTTTTATATCTAATTTATTTCATGATTTAAACGTCATATCCGTGCTATTAAACATTAACGTGGATATGACCTTATATATTTTACATTTATACTATTCCTGTATTTACACTTATTCAATATTTAAGTAGTATTAAATTATCGATGTTATAATAATATCTCTACTAATTTCGGCCCGTAACTTCGTTTTCAAAATTATAAACGTACATTTAGATAACCATATAATAACATTAAACCATATTGTACCTATATAAGTTTCCCCGTCAGCAGCACTCGCTTCCTCGCCAGTGGCTGCGATTTGCGCTAAACTCTCGCGTTCCTCCAATTCTTCTGACGCCTTTGGAATGTTCGATACCACTTCATATGTTACGCCAGTCTGCGTAAGTTGGTCAGTCCTGGGAACATACAATTATTTTTTTTTTTTGCAATTGAATACTCTAATACTCTAATAAACAAGGTTTAACGTTGGACTAAATTAACGCTGAGACTTCACTTAGTATTAGTCAAAATTCATATTATTAAACAGAGACTTAGGAAAAATTAACATAGTAAGAGGTTCTACGGGAGTAATATTTACTTCTAGACGGAAGTGAGTTTACTTATTCTCCGTATAATATGAAATTGGACTAATACTAAAATCGCACTTTTAGCGTAAATTTACTCTGACACTAAACCTTGTTTATAAATAGCACTGTATTTTATTAAAATCAAGTAAATTAGTGAGATAGAAGAATATTAATGCTATCATTGTGCCCTCAGAATCACCCAAGTTTTCTACTTTTGACAATTACAAAATAATAAGTCATAACATGTGACAATGATATTTTAGCTTGTTTAGTTACTGTAATATGTAATACAAACCTTACAATTTTCTTGCGTATCCTATCTGTTAGACTCTGTCGTTTGTAAATGTTTAAACCTAAACGTTTTCTAAGTATGAGATCCATCGGAGCAGGATGCGAAAGCCTCACTGTCGTCTTTAGAATCAGGTACACTCGTTCATTAGCTGCGATAAGAAATACATTTAATTAAAAAATATAAATATCCAAGATTACTCATTCTTTTTATTATTGTAAATTCAAATATAAATTTAAAAATAAAATCGCTCCTAAACTTCTCAGTAGAATTGGCTAATTTACTATTTAGGGGAAAAGTATTTTAAAACGCTCATATTTAAACCACTTTTAACTTAAACTTTTTGTTAATAGTGTTATTACATAAAGGAAAAACATATTTTTATTGTTGTTTGTCAATTATCCCCCAAAAGCAATCAGTAACATAAAATTAGGAGCCGTGACGTCACATTTCTATAAACATGAGTACTGGTTGTCCTCACAACAAATCGCTGATGTTTAGTTTATTGAAATGTGACGACACACGATGCTTTATCAAGACCGCCCGCGTTTGCTTTCTTGTAATCCACATACTATGAATAACAAGTTGATTTCGGGAAGATAAACTTACAAATTATTTTAAAACAAAATAAATTAAATAGATATTACAGCTGAAGTTACATAATTTATTATCACAACAGCCAAGTGACTAATGGAAGTTTATTAAAAAAAAATGATAACTGAGAATAAAGTCTCTATGTTAAGGTAAACGTAACGAACACAATACATATTAAAAGTGTGGTTATTAAAAAAACTGTAAATATATGAATAGACGGTATACCTTCTGTTGTCCGGTTGAGATACTGCGAGTCGTGAATGGAGGAGTCCCAGGAAGCGACCGCGGAGACGTCCTTGTCGTGGTGGTGTAATATCTGCAATTCGTAGAATCTGTTCCCGTGCTCTTTTGGCAATATGGAGTGTAGCCCCGCCACGCCCGCTTCCCCCTCTGCCCTTCCGTGCGTAGACAGATCGTCCGCTAATCAAACATAATTCGACCGTAAATAAAAATAATTAATTACTGGTGGCTTGAAACGATTTTCGAAAGATAACGATGCCAAAAATATTATCTATAGCTCATCTCGTTCGTAAGGCACGTTAAGCCGTTGTTCCCGGCTGTACCTGCAGTCTGTAACAGCCTCCAATCCGTACTAAGTCTGTGTAATTGGTCATAAGTTATGACGATTACACTGACTCAGTGCGGGTGAGAGAACAAGTTATGTCTCATAACTCATTATTTAATGAATGACTAGGTAAACGTCAATTTCAACTATGACACAAGAGGATCAAACCCACCCAAAGCAACAAAAGAAACGAACAATCCTGATGAAATATATCTGTCGCACAATAACAGCACAGAACGCAATATAACACAGAAGCCTACAAAATTGACGTGCCAGTTGAACATGATAATTTGCGTTTCGAATTACGCTCCATTTGGCTAAATTTAAAATGATACATAACTAAAAAGCTATTTATATACAAATTTGGAACAAAATCTTTAATTATCTCTCACGAAATCACGTGACAACGAACGCCAATCGGAGTGGATGGCGTCTTTATCAACTGACTTCAACGATATTTTCAAAAGTTTATATGAAAACAAATAGTAAAAAGTTGACTTACCGTTTAGATCGAGGAATAGTACAGGGATATGTTGTTCCATTCCAGGCGGTGGATCCCAGGCCGCTGGTGCACCCGGTATCGGGCTTCCAGGACTCGGGACTAGAACCTATAATAAACAATCCGAAATGTTTACAATTACTTCATTTATTGACCGAACACTGCATTATATGCATTTAACGTAGTATATGTAAACAAGCGTGGCTCGTGGCCGAAAGTAGGTATTATTATAGTAATATTTCAATGCTACTATCTTGCGTTCGATCTATCTACATTTGACAACAAATAAATAACAAATAGCTTGAAATAACTATACTTTTTACTAGAAGAAAAACCTGTGGTCACTCACCGCGTTCCTCTCCTCTGTGAGGGACACCCATTGTTCAACAAGTGATTGTTCCCGTTCCATATCACGTTCGCTTTTCAGCGATGGCGACATGTTCACCAATTTCTGTAAGATAATTTATATGTGAGGTCGCGTTACAGTCAACAGTAGATCAGGTTATTCAAAATGGCCATTATACCCAATTAATTTTAAACCTTAATATGTTCATAGTATTAAAAAGTGATTGTGGTAACTTGACATTTTGTGGTTACCAGACATGTTGTTCTTTGTTCAATAACCACATCATCCCTACATATATTTATCTCATCTTTAGCCATCTCCTTTCTCTGTCTCTCTAACATTTATTTACACACATATCAGTAGTGCTCATCTAGCTTTCACATTTAGATACACTTCCATAGCAAGTATCATAGTTTCCATAGCAAGTTCCATAGTTGATCTCGGCTGCATTTGCAATCGTAAATACCACCAAAAAATACTAGGTACACAGCCAACCAACGAACCAATAAACGAACATTTGCCCTATTGTTTCCACCTATTAATAAGGTTTAAGCCCTAGAAGTGAGGGCATTGACACTTACAATAATGATAATAAATTGATCGCTAAACAAACCTGTAGTTGTGCGTGTAAATGTTGCCGGCGGCGAGCGAGCGCGTCACTCCACCGCTCGCGTAGTACAGCCAGATCTTCCTCCTGGTAAGAGTCCAGAGGTTTCTGTAGACGGGACCTGAAAAATATTCCGATTTGAGATATATTTCTACTCGAATGTCAAATCAACTGCAAAGCTGAAACTGCTTCTAAAGCACTGATAAGCCAACCCATAACTAATTAAAAATTTAAGAAGATTTATTAAGTTGTGGAAGTAATCCCAGAATACTGATGAATCAGTTCACACAATAAATTATTATAGAATTATGCCCCTTCTCTACTTAACTATATCGACGCTGTTTTCATGTTTTGATTCCATAATTTACTAAGCCTCTGAATTTCGTCCCAGCATACCTAATCTTATAAACTAAACGTAAATAATTTTTAGGAAAATAATGTACTGTCAACAGCGCATCACGTAACTATAAAGCGCCAAATTCCTCCAATCGATTTCAAAATGTTAATTATAGAATTTGATCTTTAGTGTTAACGTGTGCCTGCCATGTATATAGGAGATTAGTAACTAGACGAGAATAGTAACTAGTTAATGTAAAATATTTAATGTAAATATTTGTAATATTTAATGTAAATATTTTTTATATTTAATGTTAATATCTGTAATATTTAATGGAAACATTTAATGTAAAATATTGGTTTAAAAATATTAATAATCAAAAATATGTCAATTTTTACAACAACGTAAATCTAAAGTTGCCTCGTTTCAGTGACAAAAGTATAGATATACATATATCAGTGTTCACCTGACTGAGACGGAGCCGACCTCGACGCTGACTATGTGCTGGCATATGATGGGCAGCGTGCCCGAGTTGTGGGCGGGCCGCACGCGCACGGACACGCGCCGCTGCTGGCCCTGCCGCAGCTGGTACACGCCGCCAGTCAGCATGTCACTGCGCTGCACCACCTGGACCAGACCAATTTCAATTTCAATTTATTAGCCATTTATAACAATATTGTTATACAAGGTATGTCAGTTCACAATTCATAGTTCAATAAAATCTAAATCTCAAGAAAAAAAAAATTATCTTACAGTATCTTATTACATCATGTCATAAAAGTAGATTCGCTTATACGCATCGTCAAAAATTCATTCAAGGAATAGAAAGGATTTTGCTCAAAAAATGATTTCAGAATACTTTTAAAGCTTCTGTGGTTTTTGTTTGTAATACTTAAAGGTAATTTGTTATACATTATTATTTTTAGATAAATACCCTGTTTTTGAACTTTTTTTAGTTTTACCTTTGGATGACGTAACTTTTCATTATTACATAGATTATATCGATGAGAATCACCTTTTCTTGCAAAATTTTCCTTCTCTTCCATCACACCTAATACCCTCAATACTTACACATGATAACATTATTATATTTTGATTGTCTTAGCATTCACAATGCCATACTGAAAATTATTCTTTAAATTTTTATTTTATTCCCATCTTTATCGAAAGTTTCAATATTTGTAACAAATGTAATACGTTCTGTAGTGGGGAAAAAATAACAAGTGCTTGAAAAATTCGTCATCCTGTTAGGTCCTGGGTAGCTCAGTGGTTAGAGCAGTCGCCCGGATTAAGAAAGGTCGTGGGTTCGATTCCCGTCTCAGGATGTCAGGGACAAAGTGGATTTTTTAAGCATTTTGTATTAAGAATAACATTATAATATGTTCGTAACGTCGTCACACGTTCATAAAACATTTTTCATTAATTAACTGCCACAAATTACGCTGGGAACACTTTTATAAGACGCTTCTGTAGATTTTACAATGACAATATAAGTGACGTCGACGTTTTTTCGCTATCACTAATTCAATATAAACGAAAAGTGGGAGATATTATAATTAAAAATGAATAATCAGAGTGAGTTTTTGAGATTTTTGTGGAGAAACTGTTGTTTGATGTGTAGGTGAAGTTTATTCGATGTCATCACTTTTGTTAATAGTTAGTAAGTAATTAAATAAATTTTGTTAGTATTTAGTAATGGAAATGTAAGGTCTATCAGTTAAAAAGTTTTGATTGTATTTAAATTGTAAACGACTGTTTGTTTTCCTAAATAAATATATTCAAAAAAATAATGTCAAAAATATATGTGTAAAATAGATGTTACATTAATATAGTTCATGAATAATATAACCCTGTCGGGTAGGACAATATATTTAAATTTTATAAATAACTTTAAAACAATATATTTAAAAATTAAATTCGTCACTTATTAATAAATTATACTTTTGAGGCGTTTTAATCAGTTGAAGATTGTCGATAATTAATAATAACACTTGTTGATGAGTAACCCCTTCAGTGCAAACTCAAAAGTAGCTAAATAATTTTTGGCTTTACATATTGTACGTTGGAATGCCTTCAGTCTACCTCGGTAGATCTAGCACCAAGTTATTTATTATAAGATATTTTATTGCATGTAACCAAATTTCAAGCAATAAAATATCAATATCTCTCTTTATCTTACCCCCAAATGCTGGCGGACAACTTGGTGCTAAATCCACCCGAGGCAAACTGAAGGCATTCCAACGTACATCCATCATACAATATTGCCTATTCGTTTTAGGTACAGTCAAGGTAAAAGATTTTGTGATTTACACCACAAGTTGCCACAAAATGTAACCATCCATATTACCATAGATCAAATCTACAAAAATAGGTATACAATAATTTACGATGATGACGATCGCAAAGGCCGGTAATCGGATGAGTGGCTAAATTATTTATGGCGGAGTGACTTAGACCGATCACGCGGGCCTATTAATCAGTAATCCGCCAGCCCAGTGGCCGGCGTATTTGAGTTCCCTCATATTAATAGCAATGGACTACATATTTATGTTTCGAACATTGTGTACATATTTATGGGTCTTTAAACGAGTTCATACCTAATGTCAAAATACTTGTATCTATATTTTTGACCTTAATTGTACGTTTTCGTACGAATTTCAATCGTGGCCACGAATGTTTAACACTAAAAATGGACATGGAAAAATTCGGAATTTTGTCAAGTTAGGTTGTACAGTTTCTTTAAAGGAGTGTTTCTTTTTTCATAAGAAAATATTAGTTATAAAAAAGGAAATATGTAAAAGAGATTAAAAGGGAGAAAAGAAAAGGGGGACAGCGGAAAGGACATAATAATAATGTAAATACAGCCGATAGTATAATTTATTTACGGGTGTATAATATGAAATAAATTCCCGCAATCGATTTTATACTTAAAGTCCACTATTAATGTTAATGTTAAAATTTTTAATAATTTGGAAAAAGTTTTACATAACTTTACGTCCAGTACATCAAGGAGAAATGTATATATTTATAGCGCAGAAGATATGCGGATGTCTAACGTGTGTAATATGCTTGGTACAATATAATGTAAAGCAAAAACTAAAATAATGTATTATTGATATTGAATATTATATAACGGGGTTTTTATAGACTTGGAGTATTCTTCATTGCGGTGCAAATTCTTGTAGGCGCTTTAAAATGATGTAGTAGTTACCTCAACGGGCGCGTATTCGCCCTGATCGTTTAGCTCGTGTATCTCCACCCACAATTCTATCTTGCGCGTGAGTTCCGCCCATCTATCCGCCAACGAGCGAGCCTTGGCTAGTTGCTGCTGCTCCACCTCCCAGTTGTTGCGGCCACGACTGAACCCAGCAGAGCGGTGACCCCATACTTCAATCGATAATGCACCCTCTGTTGATGGAATAACAAACGTTTTTATTCAGATGTATTCAAAGAATGTACTATTTCCTATTCTACGCAAACTAAGATTCATATTAGTTAGAACTCACAGAACGCTTAACTAAGAAACAAACATCAAACATTACTTCATATTCATTTACTAAGTAACACTTATTTAGAATCGATTTGACTCAATTCGAGCCGATTACAGTCGAACACTGTTGTATTGAGTCGAGTTGTTACTCTATCAATTCTAATATTATAAAGAGGAAAGATTTGATCGTTAAAGGCTAAAATTGCTAAAATACATTTTTTTATCATTTTTTATTATTTATTCCACCAGCGGTTTCGCCCGCGTGGTTTTGTATTATACATAAAATCCTTCCTTTCGAATCACCCTATCTATGAAAAAAAAAAAAACCGCATCAAAATCCGTTGCGTAGTTTTGAAGATTTAAGCATACATTCCTTCTGGGCAAGCTCGTCCCAGCGTAGATCTCATCTATGTCCTTATGCTAGATTGAGATCAAGAGTAAGGCCATTGTAAATAAATAAATAAAAAATATAGGGACAGAGAAAGCGACTTTGTTTTATACTATGTAGTGATGTATGGACTGATGTGAGGTTGTCAGAAAAAATATAGGGACAGAGAAAGCGACTTTGTTTTATACTACGTAGTGATGTATGGACTGATGTGAGCTTGTCAGCAAAAATATAGGGACAGAGAAAGCAACTTTGTTTTATACTATGTAGTGATGTATGGACTGATGTGAGGTTGTCAGCAAAAATATAGGGACAGAGAAAGCGACTTTGTTTTATACTATGTAGTGATGTATGGACTGATGAGAGGTTGTCAGCAAAAATATAGGGACAGAGAAGGCGACTTTGTTTTATACTACGTAGTGATGTATGGACTGATGTGAGGTTGTCAGCACCTGCACAGTGCTCGACCAACTCTTCGGTGAGTGGGAGGGTGAAGTCCCGCTGGTGGTCGAACCGGAACGCGGCCTGCGGCGAGCGCGGCGACGCGGGCGGCGCGTCCGCGGTCACGCGCGGCGCCACCACCACCGCCTCGCCGCCCACCACCGAGTACTGGCAGAACACGAAGTGGGACAACGACGGCGGCAGGCCACTAGCCTGCTTTATGCACACGCGGATCGTCACCTGGACAATGACACGGCACATCGTTTATATATAACCCAACTACAGAAGTCTTCCTTGTAGAAAGGAAAATGAACGAACCGGATATTCGGTCGAGTTATTCGGTTTAACATTATTGTTTTAGCGTGTATACAGGTTTGAAAATAAATGTTGTTTTTAAGTTTCGTTGCTTTATTTTATTAGCTTTATTGTACACATTTTTTATAGGATTCCTTCGACTTATAATATAACATAAACCTTGCAGAAGAAGTTTTGTGTTTTAGTTCAATACCGTGTTGTGTAGGCAAGAAAATAAAAATACTCAAATCGAAAATTTTCGGCGACAAAACAGAATAACTCGGCTGAATACAAATAGTGAAAATATGCCAAATACCGAATGTAAAAGTCATATTCGTCGCAACTCTAAACATAACCATGGGTGCTAACCAAACTAAGGTTTTAGGGTTCCGTACCCAAAGGATATATCGGGAACCATATTACTAAGATTTCGCTGTCTGTCTGTCACCAAGCTGTACCTCATGAATCAAGTTAGACAGTTGAAATTTTCACAGATGAAATATAAAAACCAGAATAAAATAAATATTTGAGAAGACTCCCATACAACGAAAGTGATTTATATAAGTGCACTTCGCCGGTTTTATATTGTTAAGGCAGGAGAAATGTACATTATGTCTTATTTCAAATAATTACCTGAGATACACCATCAAATTAAATGCTGACAACGATATTCAATTTGATTTCACACATAATATATGATGTTCAATATGAGAGGAAGATGTGAAACCTAAATCAGTTGTACTATTGAACTAGTTGTAGTACTAACTTGTTGTGTGGCGGGATCGACAGGTTCATCTTCATCGCGCATGTCGCCTGAACTATCGGAAGCAGCCTCGCAGATCCTGTCCTGTGGGAACTGGCCAGCTACGCGACTAAGCTCCACCTATGGATAAGATATTAATTCGAGTAATAAAAATCTTCTTCTTTCCAACTAATATGAAATATATTAAAATATTAACACAATTTGCCTATGAAAAAAAAACTTCCGAATAACACAACATTTTTCAGTGTACTTCAAACTATTTATTTAGGCCAATTTGATGTGAAAAGTCGTTAATAATTTATTGAAATCGCGTTTAGAAAAAAGATAAACACATTGCACTCATGTTGCTTAAATCTGTAACTAGCATTTTTTGTTTTTTTTTTTTTTTACTAAAGCGAGTTAAATACACCATTTCATAGCTAGAAAATTTCCTGTTGACAGGTTTTACCGGCACGGGTGCGATTTACCCCTCTAGTGACGTCACAAACTTTACTAAGCAACAACCGTGCAAGGCAAAATCGCTCTTATTCCAAACATTTTATGAACTAACAAATAAATCCGTTAAATATTATGAAGGTCGACAAATTATACTTAACGCTTAAACTCAAGGTTCGCAAAAATCCGATATTTATAATAAATATGAAAATATAGGATATTTGATATTTATCGGATATATGTCATGCACATGAAAAGTTACAATTTTTAAGCTGCTCGTAACCATAATAAATATTTGGCCTTTTCTATCAAAAGTGTAAAATACAGATTCGAGTTTGATATATTTAATATTATCCAGTAACGTATAAGGGAGTACCAGTTACTGGGTCGTCGGGTGACCTACTTACTATATTAAGCCTTATAACGTGAACATAAGCATTAAGCTTTAAGAAAAAATAAAGAAACTAACCATTCGTGCCAGTCACATCAGGTTGGTTAATTTTCTAACTGTGACTCAATACTCAAACTAACAATAAATATCAAAAGATATACATCACACATTATATCGGTTGATATTTATCAGTGAAACCTTCTTAAACTTAAAACCAATTGTTTTAAAATACAGTACCTGCAGACGCCCAGCTACTTCGCCTTGTTGACTGATAATGGGTGTGTGATAGTCGAGCGTCACGTCGTGGAACAACGCTTCCAAGAACACGTTTGCTACGCCGATCAGATTGTGGTTCTCTTGAGACTCGTAGAATGGATCAAGTACTTTATCGGTTGGCTCCTGGAAGTATATAATTAATAACAGCCATTTTGCGGTTAGATACCTTAAAACTAAAAAATCTATTTGGTAAAGATCTTTGGAGGTATTAAACATACGACGGTTTGTGCGAATTTTTCAATCGTAAGATTATCAAAATATATTGAGGATAGATAGAGTAGGTGCTTTTTTTGTAAATGAAATTTGGCAAGCAACACCTCGTACAACGCCAAAGGCACTTGTGATTTGCGTAAATAAAAACAAAAAAAACTATTTGAATATGTAGAATTACAAAAATATCATTTTTTTTTTGCAGTCTAACAGCACGGCAAGAATTTTTTTATTATTAGAACACATCTCGATGGTTTCTTAACTTATTATTGTTTGAAACCTACAACTTGAGTAATTCTCACTTTTTCACTGGTTGTATTTCGAATTATTTATGGAATAAGTGTAAAGGAATTGTTTAGGATCCGTGTGTTCTAGCGCCCAGCCCTCTCTGCTTACCCCGTAAGAGTGTAAAGGAGCTATACTAGTTTACCTCGTGTAGAGGATCGTCTGGCGAGCATTGTTGCCGCCGTCGCCACTCTTCATACATGTCTCGCATGTCCACCAACTTGTTGTCAAGCTTCTCCATAGACCACACCTGTCCGCCGCGACCGGGACGCTTCACCATTATAGCTGGCTCCGATACGAACGCTCCACGCTGGTGAAAAAAATAATGGAAATGAGACAACCAAATGATAAGTAGTCGCTCTTGGCATGATGCTAGGTGTATCTTCTTCATATTATTTATAAGATATTTTTATGGAATATATAAGCTTCACACTATTTAAGGTAATAGTGTTTATTCTTAACTTGATAAAAAACGTTCCAAATATTCAATACTTTTAAAAGTATTACTTAAAATCGATACTAACGTTAGCAAAATATTAAGTGTCGATAGAAATATTGAAAGTAATACAATTTATACCATGAATCGCGTTTTAAATTTAACAAGCGATAATCTTACGTTAAATCTAACGAAGCTAGAGTTAAAAATATCTTTATACTAGCACTAGAGCTTCCAATCCCGCAGCCTATATTCCAGTCTCGATATTTGCGGGACTAGAAATTTTCAATCCCGCGGGATCCCGGCGTTTGAAGGCGTCCGCATACAGAGATTATTAATATTCATATAATATCAAATTCACATTTATTCAAATTTACTATAAGCATGAGATTAATCAAATTCAATCGTTTATTTATCACTGAAAACTGAAATAAATGCGGAAAAACCAAAACATTTTCAACTTAAGGTTGACATAAGTAATTATGACTTTAATTATTTAATTCGGTCATATTGTCTGACAGTGTGTTTTTCAGTCCCGCAAATCCCGCGGATGCCACGCCCATAATCCCGCAATACGCGAGATCTCGTTATTCCGAGATTAGAAACAAATAAACTTATATTAAGTACTTTTGAATCGTCCAACATTTTTTTTTTACTTTAGGTTAATAAGAAGAACCTCGAACATACCTTTCTGTTAGGGCTTAAGTTCTGCGGCGGGATCTGTAGCGTGACGCTGAACCGCGTGTTCCGCCTCATCTCCTCGGCCAGGAAGTTGGCCTCCTGCACGAGCGAGTTGGCCCGCAGTATGTCCGCCTTCAGACGTCCCAGTGATCGCTTGAATGTATCATCGCGTTCCGCCGCCCAACGTTCCACGCGAGCCGCTGTCGTTGGCGTACATGCTGACATTTTACCTGAACCGTTTATGAAAATGTTAATTCTACTCCTCTCTATAAAAATAGCTTATTTAATATAAAATCTTTATCATTCTATCTGTATGCTTATTTTTTGTGTGGATGCATGTGAATAAGTTTAAAAAAATATTTCTTTTAGAGCGTATACGGGGCTATTTGTAATACGTTAGTAACCTCACAACACAGCTAACATCATATAAACCACAAAGTAACCATGTAATGGTGTGCCATACCACCGTTTATTTTCCTAGGTTTCGGTATGCAAACTTTTTGTGTTTGAAATTCATCATCATTTTTTTTAATATTTACCTTTCGTAATTTAAAATTTTGACTAATCAAAAATACTCTTTATGGATGTCAGTTCGTAAAAAATTATCTGTGAATAACATGTAAATCAACATATTATCGTATTAAATAGTATAAATTTTAACATAAGATTTTAAAATAATTGTTGATAATGATTAAGAATGAGACATTGTGATAGAAATAATATAACATAGTGAATTGTAATTTGTAACTTGGACGATCCAAGTTTTTAACAAGAAACCCAAAAAGGGGTATGTATTTGTTTATTTGGTAATTTTAAAATTTATATTTAGGTAAGATACGAACTGTTTTTATATTCATTTTTTGTTTGTTACAGTTTCTTTATTTTATCCTTATACAATACACAAATCCATACTCAAACTAGTCGGTCTTATTAATTGACCCAAGCACCGAACCCGTCACAACCATAATCACAATACTGTGAAAAACAAATGCTTTAAAAGAACTTCACATATCTTCCTCGGAACGTAGTAGCTAATACACTTGCTTTATGCACAATATTTATTGAACTTTATTGACCAATACGAGCATGGTACAAAAGGCGGACTTAATGCCAATGTCATTATCTTCCAGTTAACCTTGAGAATATTGACAATATAGAAAAGATAATTTTATAAATTGAACCGACCGAGAATAATGCCCAGTACCTCGTAAATGGCAACATCTTGACATCGGCGTGTGAGTTACTCGGCCACAGAGGTCATTCAAAATTCATTAATTCACAAACAAATGACCGAGCTACGCTCGCGAGCTGTGTCAAGTACCAACGTATTAGCAAAGTATATAATTTAAAGGTACCGTGGATTGAGTTGTTGACATTCGACTGGTGAATGAAATAAAAAAATAATTCTATATAACGTTACAAATTATCAAAACTTATAGAACGTTTTTATTATCATATGTTGGCTTTTACTGGCTTTGAACTATAATCTGATATAAATTGGAAAAAAAAAAATATGTTTTGGCATTTTAAAATAAAATTTTGTGATTTATTTCAAAAAATTAATTTCAATAAATCCCGGAAAAGAAATTGAAAATAAATAAGCAACTAATCACCTACATCATGAAGTTTATATAAATAATAATTTAAGAACCGAAACACAATATTGAGAAACATTTGTGTTAAGAAAATTGCAAAAGTAAAAAAAATATTTATATAATATTTATTTTATCTCTATTTATACACAAGAAATACATCAAATAAACCAGCGCGTAGCGTGATTGATTGAATGTAACAATGTTTGTTTTAACAATACTCACCTAATTTCAGAGGATCATATGTGTATGGTGGATAAGGTGTTGACGGTGACAGTATATTTCTCAACTGCTGGAACTGTCTTTCGTACTCTTGTCTCTGTTTCTCCAAAGCCACTAAAACAAGATTTTTATCATAAAAAACATGTTGACTACTGATAAATGGAGTCTATGTAAACTAACGACGAAGGCATGTTTGTTTACATACCGCATTATAAGAATGAACATAACTCAATTTAAAATTTAGTGAATTATGATCTATAAGTTTGTAAAGAACTAAATATAGAATTGAGTCAGATTAAACTTGCTATGCTATGTGGAATTGATAATTCACGCTTGTTAATATTTCAATAAACATTCAAACATTCATTGATGCTTAAATTCGATCTTCATACAACTCTAAACTCTAAAAAGTAACCTAATAAGGAGAGGAATAAGAGAATAACATCTATTTTTATTATATACAAAATGATACTAATATTTTAGAGTGACTCAAAACAATGGATTTAAAACCACACCGTGCGAGCAGGACAAAGTATTACCCACTCGTAAACACAAATTTTAACGGTAATACAGTAAATAAACATGTATCATTAGACTTTTTGAAAATACCTCAATGATTTAATACTGCCAATACCATTATAATCAGAAATTAGAAATATAATCCTCTTTTATAATAACCTTGTTTGTCTTCCTCGTGTTGTTTCTCAAGTCGTGATATAGCGGTCTGTATAGGATCGTTGCTGAGTTCGTTCAGCATAATCTCGTCCCGCGCGAAATTATAGTCAATGGGCTGGGCGGGAGTTTGTGGCTCGGATGCGGCTGCTGTAAAACAAATACGTTGTCTATTATTTATATAAATTCAAATAAAGTATACAATATTAAAATTAATAGATGTATTAACACAAAAGGAAATTACAGATAGCAACTAAAATAGTGTAAAACTGGTGGAAGTATCCCAAGTGATCCGTGAAGCAGAAATTTTATTATAAGTACATAAAACAAGTCTTTATTTATCTACATTTAGGTACTGCATGATATCTCAAGTGACTGGTCCAAAGCCACATAGAAATTCGTGATGTAGTTCCTAATGAATAAAGCGCCCGCGGCGCTTCGTACCACGGCCCATGATCGTTAATATATCATATAAAATGCAAACATAAACTATAAAAAAGGTTTTAATAGGACGCCGTTGGCAGCAACTACTCCCAGATATTGAATTAAAGTGAGTAAAATTGAGATAACGCAACTTACTTGTGGTTCGCGGACAGTTAACACGGAAAAAGTGGTGGTTGCCCCACAATATGCGATCGGCGTGTCCCAATCTCACGCGGGACACAACTGGTGTTCCGTTAACGAAACACCGCGCTCCGCCCAACGGCTCCATGAACAACGCCCCGCCCTCCACCAACAGGTGGCAGTGCTGCGGCTGAATACCCAAACCCGATAGCTGGATATCGGCAGACTGATCGGCACCCACTAATGTTTTATTCTGAAAACGTATATTTTTTATTAATTATAAAAGAAAATCTTATTGCCTAAAATTATCAGCACTCTATTAAAAAAATACGAAATTCGAATATTATTTATAATAGTAATAACACTTTAATGTCACACCATTTTTGAACAGCAATTGGCGCTCCTATCGCTTAAAGCGATTTCTACCGGACAACCTTTGGATGGAGAAGAATGAATAACATTTATGTATATGATCATTTTGTTCTTGAGATCTTCCTAAAAGAAAGGATTTCAGGGACATATATGAATAAATTGAATCCCCACTTGAATTTAAGCGTCCTTTACCTAAAGTAATTTTCTTAATGAAGTGCTAGTAAAGAATTAATAATACCATTAATATCAGTATTAATATATACACATATTCTATCAATTTATCTTCTTTAAATTATAAAGTCATGAATATAAGCTATATACCTTTAAATAGTACACTAATAGTTCGTTGAGTGATGGGTCTGCGTTAAGATTGACTAAGTAGTACTTGTTCTTTTCCACTTTGATGCCGCTGGCCTGCACGCTGATACCCATCTTTTCCAATGCTTGCTGTCTCTCACTTTGTATCCGACCTGAACATGTACAAGTTAAATATGATATATAATATGTCAAAAATTGAAAAAATATAAGTGTATTTTACTTTAATGTCTACATATTTTTTTTTAATTATCTATTGCATTTATTACCTGTCTCTACAAGTTTTTCCTCCCACGTTCTTGACATTTCCTTCATGAGATGTTCGCTTTGCGCTAGTTGTTCATGCACATCTTCGCCTACCGGTGAACCCTAGAGATTTTAATTCGTATCAACATAATATATCTCAAAATTTGAACAAAATCTCGTTAACTTGTGTCATTCATCTAGTATACATAATTATATCCTTACATATAAGATAAGAAAATTATAATCGGTGTTTGTTCACATCATCGCAATAGAAATTCCTATTTGACTGAGAAGACAAAACATATTATAACTATGCATGGCTAACAAATCTCTTATTAGTAAGGCGTTAAATTAAATATTTTATACCAAATAAAATCAAGAGATGGGAGAAAAACGGTGAACCGATAAAAATATGGAAACAAAGTAAATCGAAAAAAAAAAAAAGTTTTGTTTTCAAATAGCAGCGCTTGTTAAAGGCACAGGTGGCGGCGCTGCCACGTAACTAAAGCCAGGATTGATCTGTGAGAATGAAGATCAGAATGATATGAGCAGAATGCTAAGCTGAGGTAGGATCCCGACTGACCCCATCAGCTATATGTAGATACCTAAATATGTATTTACTTGCCTTTGCTGCTATTTTTCCTATATTCATACCTACTCTGTAATTATTGTAAATGAGATGAAAATTCTTAATTATTTACTATATGCCAGAATGACAACTATTAGCATACTAATCATGATTGTACTGTACAATCCAAGGCAAAACCAGATTGGTGTGCTATAAGTTGATCTGTCTACTTGACATATTATTCTGGGTTTCATTTTCACACATCAGTCAACAAATCAATCAGCGCTTCAGATACACGGTAGAGCCGCGGTTCTTCAAATAACAAATCTAACGATGTCATGATCTAATATACCGTGGCATGTTTGAGCATCTCCTTTAACGCCTCCACTTCCTGCCGTAGTTCGCGTATGATGCGAGCATTCGGGTCCTCGTTCACCACGGCGTGGTTGACGATGCGCTTCGCCCTATCCGCATATCGGAGAGTTGAGAGGGTCTCTTCATAATTGTCCGCCGCTGGGGATATTGTGGCCACCTATACAAATAAACAGGATCATTCAACCGATGTCACAAAGTGGCCACCAAACTCGTAATTAAACAGCTACATTATATTACGGTATCAATGTTATTACTTTATAGTACTTTGTGTACTGTTTTTATGAAAACACATTTGATTTTGGTTGCTATAGTCACCTGAAGTATTGAACACGTATATATTATGGCATTTAATTAATACTTGAATATGCTTTGATAAATTAAAACAGATTATGTAATAAGTCAACCGTCATATCGGCACCGCTACTTTACGTTACGTTTTCTAAAACATCTTTTACAACTTTCATTTGCGTCATTTGTCGGATTGACAAGGATCGAATTGAACGCAATGTATTTAAAGGTAAAACAATTGTTGAAAACTCTATCAATATTTTAAAAATATCTGAATATATAATTTATCATACCATAACAGTTTTACTGTTTCCACCGAGGTTGTCTTTCAAGAGCCACGTGAGTACAGAGTCTCTATACGGCACGAATTTATCTTTATTAGTTTTGCCAGATGACTGGTCTGCCAGCTTCGATATCACCAAACCCAACGTTGTTAAAGACCTGTAATAATGTAAATTATAAATCTGTGGCTGTTTTCCAACGATTACGCCCGTTTAAAATTATGGCCTATATAACCCGCGTATAATGTAGCTTCCAGTAGGTGAAAGAATTATTAAATTCAATCCAGTAGATTCGATGCTTATTCAATGCAAACAAACAATGTTAAGTAGCTCGGTGGCGTAGAGGATAAGTAAATTTCGTCTTAGTGAGCACCTACGTCCTAAAAAGAACCTGCAAACTCGTAGCACTTATAGTAACGAAGTTTCATACAAACTTTCATTCCCTAATATAACCTCTTCGGGGTGGAATTATCAAAAATTGTCTCTTAGAGCTCCTCTACACTTCCTAAAGAGTTGAAATTTGGAATGAAGATATTACAGATTTCAATTTTCGACGCTCAGTAGTTTCAGCTGTACGTTGTCTGTCTGAAAATCAGTCAGTCACTCAGTAACGCAAGAATTTTATATATACGGATAAGTATTTATAGAAGAGTAATGGAAACTACTTGAAATATAGTTTGAAGCTTGAAAAGATAGGTTACTTTTTTCAAAATATGGAAACACCATGGGACAGACAATTTTATCAAAACAAATCTTTTTGCAATTCAACAATATAGAAGCGAATTGAATTCAGTAAAGATTTCACAAGAACAGAACATTTATAGCAAGAAACCGATAATACTACATATTTCAGCCTCTGGTTTGGTAAATCATAGCGTGTCGTGCAAAAGGTATGTATATTTATTTCCTTGTATGTTTTAGATGTCCCCGAGCACAAGGGCACACGAAGGATTTCTAAAATAGGTGTAGAGTTGACATTGAATAATTAAAGTCATTCATAATATAAACTAGTCTAGCCATAAATTGTGTTACTGGCTGTTTACATACTATAAAAAAAAAAACATTAAATTGATATTCGAACATACGCTTCTACGATAAAAAGTATACTTCTTTCCCGCCTTTACTGTATGTTTTTTCTTTAGAAATTATTTGTTTTGAAAATGGAGTAAGGCAAAAAAGAAGAGGATTGCAGTAATTGCACTGTACAAAGTAGGTAAAAGCCAGCCGACATTTTTGATACATTGAAAAAGCTAGGGATTAGCCGAATGTTTGTGTATCGTACCATCCAAAGGTACACTGAAACCATGTCTGTTGATGATCGTGAGAGATCCGAGGGCCGAGAGGCCCGATCGCGGTCTTTTCGAAAAAACCCGGCCGTTAATGCAGTCAAGGCCAGAATTCGTCGAAATCCCATAAGGAAGCTAAAAATCCTTTCCAGAGAAATGAGAATCAAACCGACGACGTTATCATCATTTTGACTTTTTAAGTAATTGTATATAACCTCTATTTTAGTGGTTCCTAATGGGTAATTGTTGGGTGTAAATCTGCTATTCTGTAGGAATAAAATAACGAATAAAAAAATCGTCTTAATTTAAAATATGGACGTGTTCGTGTTTAAAGCGAAAATAAAACAATTTTATCATAGGTGTATAGGTTATACACCTATGATAACAATAACAATAGTATCATAGGTTTAAAAGAGACCTGGGATGCGACCGTCTAACTCTCTAAAAAAGCCATGGCGATTTTACTACTTTGCCATGTTATAACGAATGATTAAGAATTATGATTATGAATTATATTCGTTTATACACCATAAGATATCGATAAGATGTCTATCTTATGGCTAGAGTCAGGGCTAGAGAATTGAGTGGCGAAGGGAAGAAGGGTAGATGGTAGGTAAAATCAGATTTCTTAATAGAATATTAGGGGTAAAAATCATGAAAAGTTTTAAATCACGAGTCTATTTGTTGGATTTTGAAACTTACTTGTTGATATTAGAGCCTTCTTTGAGACGGTCGCCGACAGCGCCGGTTTTGACAGCCCGCTCGGATCCTGCCAGGTCGACAAGGGATAATCGCGCCACTTTCTCGCCGGAGACGCCGGTGGCTGCGTCGGTGAGTGTCTGAGTCAGTACCACGCTGAACACGGCGTGTGAACGCGAAGATTCACTGTTCATGTTTGTGGCGGCGACTGTTCGTGATTTGTTCCCTTCAGTCATCAGGTTGTCGATGTCCTGAAACATTGATATTTATGTATCTTTCTTCACGCCAAATCCAATCGGTTTCCCATCGGTTATGTACAAAGAAATAACGTCGAAACAATCTATACGCTTCAAATTGACTCACATACCAACAATAATCAACCAAAATATTAAAATATTTCTATTGATGACCACTTTAATATCGCTGTCTTTTACTGTTCTCTTTTATGGTTATACATTTGAAGAGTTTTACCTTCATGTATATTGCCACACAGCTCACGAGCTTAATACATACGATTCCACAAAAATATATATCGTATCTGGAAAGGCAATAATTTCAAAACCAAAATTGTTCTTTAAAACAGAATCTTACTTCCGTATTTATCGATTTAGGGTACCATATTTGTTACCATGAATGTTCGTTAGTAAATAGAAACTTATTCTACTTTAAATAAAATTTTTAGTTTTGCGCGTTACTAAGTGTCTGCTTTCAATTAAAAAATATATATTTTTGCGTGATGATGATACCAAAAAACTGTAAATTTTGTAAATAAATCGTTTTTTAACACACATCGGATTGGGATGCATTGGCACTTCATTCCTACTGTGACTAATCAAAACTCTGCTTTGGCGTGATTTTTGCCATTTAAAATGTCTATTTAGACCAGACTATAGATATTTATAGAACATCCATTAATATTTTAATTGCCCTTAACAAAGTCACGTTTAAAATAAACAAACTTGGATACAAATAACAAAAGCCTTTAACTCTATTTATGAACCAATTACCAATGTTTGTATTATACTAGACAGACCGACTTTGCGACGGTAATTCCGAACAAAACTTTTGTATTATGTAAGTTTCGAGACCGAAATTGAGTCTAATTTCACGTCCATTATTCAAAAATTACGGAGTAAAGTAATTAACGTCAGGCAGGGCTTGGAAACCGGTTTATTTTTTTAACCGGTTCGACGTAAGTACATGCGAAACGTTACATAAAAGGTTCAGCTCCTTCGAACCGGTTTTTAAACCGGTTCACTAACCGGTTTAAATATGACTCCAGACAATGATCTCACAAACTTCAGCGCGGTTTTTAAGTGCCTACACTCCTATCTATAACATCCGTACATAGGTATGATAAATGTCGTCGCTTAAAAATGATATAATTCGCATCAAAAGTGTAAGAACATTGCTTTTTACGAACCAAGCGAATTAACCGGTTTTTATTCTATCCGAATTTCACTCCGCATTTAGTTTCGATCCGGAACGGAACATTATAATAGAACAGGTTTTACCTAAATAAAAACGGTTTATTCTGAACCGGTTTCAAGCCCTGACGTCAGGTTGTAGATTTTATGAAATAAAACCTAGATTTTTTAATTGGCCTGGTAATAATGGTTTTACAATTAATAGATTTGGTTTTAACTACAAAACAAGTAAGATTCAAATTTTGTATATATATATATATATATATATATATATATATATATTACCTGTGTGTAAAGAGATAATTTCAATCACTATATTACTCGAAATTGTTTTCAAGTGAGTATCTGTACTATAATCTTATAGCTTTAAAAATACATCTGTGCTTTATTTAAAGTCAATGACAATACATTGATGTGTGTATGTAGCACAAAAATCTATAAAAATATTCGAGTATTACCTTTATTCGAAGTATTTCGATATAAATGAAACTTGTGTCTGCATTATTCACGTAAATATATACATAGGCCGCTCATTGAATCACGACGACCCAAAAATATCTACCTAGAGTGATACACTGTTTACGTAACAGAAAATTGGATACGGAGCACCGATATATCACTCGCATATAGTGTATATTTCCTTTTTTTTCTGCTCGTGGTATCGTATCCGAAACAGAAGCGAATCGCACTCAGGAGGATTCGCGTTCAAATTAGAATCACTATTGAATGAATACAGAATTCGAATCGAGTAAATATTTGTTCCATCTCTTCTTTGTTTTTGTTACAGAAGAAAGGGTCGGAATAAATTTAAATTAGACCTCCTTATCATACCCTCTCAATCAGTTTTGATGGAAAGGATACGGTTCGATATTCTGGCGAATTTATGGAAATTCACCTAGGAACTTGCCAACGCAGCGCATTGAGTTATCCCAGAATTGGCTTTTTAAGTCCATGATAGTTTATTACGTCATTTATATTCTGTCTATAGAATTATAAATGTCTCTATGATTCATTCATGAAGGTAACATATACTTAACGTTATCGCTGCAGAAATATGATTTATTATATATTATTATAAATAGCATATTATCATAAATATCATTAATACGAGAATAAAAACTACATTCACAGCAATAAAACAATTTAAAAATTGGAAGTACAATATGTAATATTCTAAAACCGTGTACTACAATATATCAAGAATAGCGGTACTTAAAACATGTGCCTTTAAAATCATGGGACATTCTCTTTATGGCGGGTTCTTTCATCCAGATGTGTTAACACGTCCGGAAACATTAAATAACATTAAAGAAAGTCAACGCACATTATGATGGAAGTAAAATATCTACTCGTATTATCTTATCCGTATAATTCACGCCATGAGTTAAACCAAATAACCCTATCATTTACTTTAACTAATTAGGATTATTTTGACTACTTTAGGAGATGTCAAACTTTATTGCATTGATAATAAAAATAATTACAGATTTATTAATACAAGAGATATTAATCAAGTAGTAGGAATGAATTAAAAGACATCCCAAATCTTTTCCAAAGTTTTTTGAAATCAAGAGACGTCGAAATTGTATTCTTAGACATGTGTTTATGTAGCGAAGGTCTCCCTAGCTGGCGTAATAATAAAAGCAGCAAAGGCAAAAATCTGTTTTCCCTTTGAAAACATGTGATGTTTTACAACTCTAGTAATTATCGGTCGGTTACACGTCCATTAAGGTTAAATGACGCCTTTAAGCTCTTATGAATGTCAAATTTGTATGGGTAATGTTGCTTTAAACTAAGGACAATTAAAATGGACGTTTGTTTGTTAAAAAGGAAAAGTTTGATTGTTTGTTTGTTTGCAACGACTAGGCTCCGAAACTTCTGGATTGATTTAAAAAATTCTTTCATCTACGGGAAGCTACATCATATGCGGTGAACATACGCTATATTCAGTGGCGTAGCTACCAAGGGGCTAGGAGGGGCAGCGCCCCGGGGCCCTCAAGCTCAGGGGGCCCTTGAATCTTTACCAGAAAACCTCAATCGAACTCAACTTTTGAAAATTTTTCCCATTTTCAAAATAAATATGACAGGTGACAACTCGAGTTTAATCATGGCAACTCAATTGTGAGTAATTCCAAAGCTATAAAAAGGATTTCCCCTAAATTATTTGTGTGGGTTGACAGTGTTATTAATGTTTTCATCAATTTGTCGGATATCAATATCTGCATATTATTATTTATCGATATGCGTTTTTGTAATTCGCGATTGTGAACTTCGAGTCAAGAATTTCTTTTCGAGAATGGTTGAAAAGCTTAATCGTATATCGTACGGAGCCGTAGCATATGACAACCCTAATTCTTTTTTGCACTGGTCCATACACCAAGTATAAATTTTTTGTTATTTATGTTGTTAGTGTTTAATAGTTTTATTACCTGCCCATGCACGAAAAAGAGCTGATGATAAAGTTGCTTATCATTTTTAAAGTATTTGTATATTTAATGATTTTACTTTAAAAAACCTTACCAGTTTTGATAGCAGTGGGCCCCATTTTTTTATTTGCCCCAGGGCCCTAGGTTACCTAGCTACGCCACTGGCTATATTATATCCCGAAAAACAGTTAATAAAGGAATGACTATGGGAGAGAAAGTTTATAAAGGGAATTATTACGTTGCCATTGTAAACATTATTTACTATTCAATTTGTCATTGTAATTATGTGTGTGTGTGTGTGTTTGTTATTGGGTTATGTGTGTGTGCGTGTATGTGTATTCGAATGGAAGATAAATAACGTTTCCTTGTATCTAAGAGCATATTAAAATCACCACTTCACGAACCACGTGGAATGTTTTCGGGACCACTAGTGGTCCGCGAGTTATAAACCACTATACAAAAAAAAATTATAAATGATTATTTTTTTGTAAAATATATCAAAATATAAATAATAAATTATAATTTTTTTGTAAAATGCATTATCCTATTGTAATTAATTATATCCGTGTCATGATCAGTAAAAAATATTTCCGTCCTACGTCATACCTGACGTCGTTTACCTAATCCCATAAAGGAATAACAGGATTAAACATTACATTTCAGTCCGTTTGTCCCAAAATATCTTGATCGCATTATAGGATTTGCACGGTCGATTGAAGGGTTCAAGGGTAAACTATTGTTAGTGGTGGCCGATGGGCGTCTTGAATTCTATGCCGCTTTAGATAATCTTAGTTAATTATCGGTCAATATGTAACTAATAAAAAAAATCGTTTCTTTTTCATAACAAGTTTTAGTTCCTAGGTTCTAGGTTTTTCATCAGACCATAGATACATCTCAAACCAAAGTTTTGTAAAGACAAATCAAAGGAGTTCAATATCTAGCCATTTCCCGTTTTTTTTTTCCGTAAACACTATTACGGGCTCGTGGATTTTTTGAGAATTTAAAACAAGCCAGAGACTCCAACCGACTCTGATATGTGACTCCAACCGACGACCTTTCGCGATCTGGGCGAGTGCTTTAACCACTGAACTACTAGGACTTAACAGGACTGACTTATTAATTTTTGCTACTAGTGAGCGTAATTTCATCAAAGTTCAGGCAATAACCAAAACAGCCGAAACTTTCAATTAAAATGAAAAGTACTAATTGAGATATTTTCCAAGATAACATTGTGAATGCAAAATTGATGAAATATAATAATTTTAAACGCTTTCCCCAATTCCGAAGAGTTTTATCAAAAACAAGCCTACAAATATGTATCTCAGTTTGTTATGAACACGGAATATCAATGAATGAATAAATGAATGAATTATAGAAAAATTACAATTGATACAGTTTAGTTGTACAATCGGCGGCCTTATCGCTTAAGAGCAATTTCTGCCAGGCAACCGCAGGTTAGACTGGACTGCTACTAAATAGACGGGTAGTAGATGGTATCTTATATTGCGAGAGAAACATACTTACATATATCCATACAAATAACATATAAATATAATATAATATATATAATATAATACAATACAATATAATATACGTACAAACATTTAAAATAAAACAGTACCAAGACAAATATAACATATACTTTGCTAAAAATTTGATTTAGATAATATAATCATGTATCTAACAAACATTTAACGTTACATTATTTATCTGTTTCAATAAAATCCCGCCCGATGTAGCGTAGCCATGCGCCCTGATAATACCGGACAATCTTAAAAAGGTGTACTCTTAAAAACAAACTTCGATTAATCACGAATTATATTATGTAATGTCCCCTACGGCATCAAGCAGGGTAAGACTACGAAGAGGTCCATTACCTGTCGAATGTCAATTTGAAGATTATACCTGCTTATTTTGATTGCGTGTGAGGCTAAACTTAAATGGTCCATCTTTTTTGTTAAACTTTTTAGATCACACTCTTACAACCCAGAACCATTAATTGCTTTAGTTGTTTAATTTCTTTTTTAATTTACTAAAACAAAAAAATTTGGATATCCGTTTTAACCATTGTTTGGGTAAATTTATCTGTCCTATTTCTCTTTTAAAAATTGGCAAACCTTACCCGATGAATTGGATGGGCGGTCTGAAAGAGAGCAGCGCGGTAAAATCGGAACCCTCTTGTCTAATTTGCAATATTGATGCGATCGATCCGTGCCATCGTTTCAATGTCACGGTGCAGACGGCTGATAATATAAACTGGACCAATATTCTAAAGCATTAGACACGAAAATAGTAGAAACATGAAGGTTTAGGTATTTAATAAGAAAAATTTGGTAATTGATTAGATCACTATGCTCTAATACTGCGATATTGAAATTGAATATTGAAGATATTGAATTCTATATTTCCATATTAGATAATGTTATATAAAACATACGGGCCATTGACAATAACTGTATGTTCAAAGTATGATTATTTAAGATCGGTATTATCTTATGTTTGTCTTATTAAATACGGGCATTTTGTCTTATTAGTCATAGTACACTTTAACAATACGTAATTGACGATCTGTTCCCGCGCAACAATTATTGTAAGTTATGTGATGTGGGAGGCGCAGGACCGATCACGTTGGTGATCATTGGGGGAGGCCTATGCCCAGCAGTGGGCGTCTCTCGGTTGATACGATGATGTTTTGTTCAATTAGTCTTATTAATTAAAAATTTGTCTCCTTAGCTCTCCTTTTCTGAATATGGGTTATGATGATGATAAAAAAATGTAGCTTTAAAGTTAAAGTTTTTTATCAACTTTTCGTTTTGTTTCTTTGTCGGGCGTTTCTTAGTAAATTAATTATTCAATGTATCTTAGTGAAAGAGCACTTGCGTCTGTAATACAGATATTTTTTTATCAAACTCAGACTCAGATGTTTACAAACGTATAATGTGTAGTTAAAGAATGTAATTATTGTAATCATTTAGCAATGCCTACCTATTAAGCATAAACTTTAATATCATAAAAACTATGATATGTGAGATTTAGGTTATGGTTCATCGATTAATTAATTAAAATAAATTGTAAAAATTAATTAATTTTCCAAACTCGTTAACTTTAATAACATTTTCTTTAACGTAGCGTTAAACTGTGGTGTAATTCGCGTAGTTTTAGTATTATTACGGGTGTAATAAATATATGTAATTTTGCATACCGCAGGGATAACTCGTAACACATATAAATAAGGTTTTATATACTACTCGGAGGCATTTCACAAGAGTTATATCTATTGTTAATTGTATTAAGTACGAAGGTTCTATCTATTTTTAACAAAGAATTCCAGTCATTAAATTGCTAGCAAAAGTAATTATGTTTGGAAAATATGTACATTCTATCGTACATTCTACAACCCAACAGACAGACATTTCAAATGATTTCAATGAGAATCAAAGGAGAATGCGATTGGATACCTTCCCTTTTGGCACTGCACAAACCCTATTAATGTATCTTCTTACGGGCGTTCCTGCAACTCGATGTTTAAACAGTGCCAGTTTAGCTTCACTATTCGTTTACAGATGTATGCCGAAGTTAAGTAACTAGACATTGACAAATAAAGAAATTAGGGAAATTAACAAATGTATCAACATAATTGAGAAGCGGGTGAGTACCGTGTTCAGTCTGCGATACGGAAATTAAGCAACTTTCGCAAAAGTTAACCATACCATGGGTGACCAAAAATTTTGTAGCTAGAGGTCTTCTGTGCTTCGGAAGGCATGTTAAGCCGCTTGCCTCGTTGTCGCTATATTCCTATTTGATTCGATTCCACCAATAGAAAAGGCCTGTGCCAAGCAGCATTAATGGCTGATGATGGTGATCGAAATAAACCCATTTTTTTATATTTCAAACAAAACTCATACAGTAACTGTAAAATAAAGGAGCAAAATGAATGAAGAACTGTTCACAAACTTCCTAAGTATTGAAGCATTATAAAACGTTGTTAATAAAGGGATTCGCCGTCGAAAATTAAACCTCTTTTTATGGGACGAGGCCGGCATCGAAGGGAAAACTGACAGGGAAATTGGCAGTCGTTAAGTCTAGGGATTTGTGTGTAATGAAGCCCGTCTCGTAACGTAATGAAAAGAACCGACTCATTAGAACTTAAAAATATGATGCTTACTGTAGCTTCGCAGATATATATTGTCTTATGGAATTTTATATAACTATTCACAGTTATGTATTGACATCGTTTTCGAAACAATTATGTGAGCATAAGCAGTCTTATTATAAAACTAACAAGTTATATGTTGTTTTAAACTTTCATGATCATTTACATTAGAATGATAGTTACCCCGTGATCATGGCAATATCAGGAACTCAATAAAAGCAAGACACAATACAAGGCACGGTAGCAATCCCGTCGAAAACTAACATTCTAAAAACATTTCAAACAATATCCGACCAAAATAGTCAACATTTTTCAATGTGACGTTTTCTCTTCTCTCATTGTCAATTTGATTTAGGCGGATAATGTTTTAAAGCCGAGTATTAAAAAGTTTTATGATAAGATGGAAAGAGATCTAAAAGCGGAAAAGATAACATATTCTAATTTATTTGTTATAAATTAACAATACGTTATAATATTTAACAATACGAACTCATTTGATAGATCGGTTTATTTATTATCATACAAAACGACTTCTAGGGAATCATGAGAGCCATTCAAACGCAATTGTAGACAAGATTGATTTTAAAATAATCAAAACATTCTAAACACCCCGCTCTCCAGCTACAGTAAAAAGCAATTCTTGCCTCACTGAAATTTATTAGGAGAGCGAAGATTCTTCCTCTCGGCCCGTCTTAACGAACACTAATTGACGTCATAGATTAGATTACTGTTGAAGAAAAATGGTGTTTGTTTCGAGTTTGTTAAATTTAAGAAGTTGTACAATTTAATGTGAACGCTTTAGCAATAACCAAATAATATGAAACGAGTTTTAGGATGAACGAAAAGTTCAAAGATACAGAAAACCTCTTTTTTCTCTATTCTGTGCAGAAAACTATATAAAACGCCTCGACTATAAAAGACAGATAAAAAATAATTAGCATTTGTTAATGGGTTATTGTCTTATCTCTTCTCAATATTAATAACGAGTTTAGATACATCAATTATGTAAATTCTTTAATCCTAAAAATAAACAAAGTATGAAAGCTAGGATCTCGAATCGAAAATAGTTCAAATAAATTCTAAAGAAAAATCTGGCAAAGACGATACTAGCTGCAGCCAAATATATTTTTGACATTAAACACTATATCGTATAAATATCATGTAATTTTACAGTTTCACTACTTATCTAAGACAAGTAAACGACATGCTGCAACACTTAGTTGGTCTGAACGACTTTTAACCTTTTATGCTGAAATGAACGAGAAAATACTTTTAAACAATACCCTACTTATCGCTTAAGGTTATCGGGGAATACAAGTTTTCTTCGTTACGTGGGTATACAAAACTTTAGTTAAACCAAAATAGGTACTTAAATGTAAGTTTGGGCTTTCAGTGTATAGTCATTACTTCAGTTAAACTTAGTTTAGAATGTGATCAAGAAGACAGATTTATTTAATATGCCAAGATATTAACCATTACGATCTAGGTGATACTTTAATTTAGCACAGAATTCCAGCTTTGCTACACTGTAATTAAATCAGCGTTCAACTCGAAGACGAATACAGCACTATCACAGAGTAGGGATTCGATGAAATTAAAACTTTGATTACTTACCTTTCAAGTTGGTTTTATTTGCTAGAAATTCAAAGCTGTGACAGCGATATGCTCGACTTTAAGTTCGACTCTGGATTTTTTACAGAATAGTTCTTGAACATGTTATGGTTCCTAAAACTTTGCACTTATTGGACACACGTTGGTGCAGGGTTCATATCTTAGAGTAATGATCTTCCGATGAAGCACATTAGACGGACGGTTGCTTGATCTGCAATTTTACTGGCTCTATAAAAAACCTACGCTTTAGTGCAGGGCTCGGCAACTTTACGAGTTGTATGACTTTATGCTAAAATTTACAAAATTTCATAGAACCACTGAAAGATTTCGCTTCAACATTGCTCACATTAGGTATATTACAGATTTTATAAACGTCTTTAAATATCTTATTCAGACATATTTAAATCATATTATAGAATAGGGTACTCAACTACGCATCGATTAAAAGATTGAAAGGTTTTCGAATGTAAAATTATTATTTTTTGCAAATGAAATTTTATATCAAAAGAACCGTAGTTTGCCAACCCCTAGTTTTGTAGAAATACAAAGCACTATTTACCTGAAATGATGCAACGGCCAGCTGTGACAGTCCGTCGACGTATGGTCCTAGCACAGCATGCTCGCGCACTCTGAGTGACCGTCGCGACGTCTCCGGATCCAGGAGATCGTGCACACGCTCGTTGTAGATCTCCATGTAGGACACCTCCACCTGAACACCACCGATATACATGAGAATGTACTTCATAAATATAAAATCAGAACTTTTATCTTAATAAACGTTAAGCAGAGCTATTAATAATACTTGAATATTAAAATCGAATATTTGGGTTACTCTGATCTAATATTGTAATGGAAAGTGACTTCATATTTTAATGAAGTCAATTTTCAATCTTGACGCTCTATATGAAATAAAACAGGGACTAAAAAGCAGCCCTTGCCCAGTCTTGTCAGAGTTTTGTCGGTTTTTCTAGGTACAAGGTCTCCCGCCGTTGATTTACGAAGCGATGGCGTAGCTCTCGACTTTCACAAATATCAGCTTGTATCAGCTTAGACTGAATAAATAATTTTGATTTCGATGACAATTCAGTAGGTATCAAATATTTGAGAGGGTTTGGCTGTAAATACAGTGTCATATTATGAGGATATAATAAAACAGTATATCAATATATCAATCCTATTTCCTATTTATATTATAAATGTGAAAGTTTCTTTGTTTGGATGTTTAGATGTTTGGATGTTTGTCGGTCAATCACGCCGAAACTACTGAACGGATTTTGATGAAATTCGGTATACAGATAGGGTATTAGCTGGCTTAGATAATAGGATACTTTTTATCCCGCTAAACATTTCCCTAGGGTCCACGCGGGCGAAGACGCTGGCGAAAGCTAGTACTCTATAAACGTAAAAGATGAACACACATTTTTTAACTGACTTCAAAATCAAAACAGTTCCTCCTTATTCTATATTCAACAATAATAATATGTACTTTTAATTTATGTTCACTGATTTATTTTCAAATTATAGATCTATATTCTGTGTTGTGTTGACGCGACAGAAACATATCAGTTTCCTACAATTCGTTTAGTTAATGCCAATATTCTTATAAAAATGTGTACTTGAGTTCAATGTGAATTCCGTTCTTGTATCAAGGAAATCGTAAACCAAAGATAAAATCTGGATAGCATTTAAGGCACAAAGTATTAACAATTACATTGTAACCCTAACGTGTCGAAGTTTACAAATATGTCAACGGCAGATTCGATTAACCTACAAAATGATTTTCCAATAGGTACTCAAAGACTTCTAGGTAGTCTTTGTAGGCACTAGACAAATAGTAGCGACGGCAAAATAAAAAACTTAGAAGCGCAATAAAAGGAACAGACTAATGAGTTTCTTTCTTTTCAAAGAATTTGCAATTGTCTGCTATGTCGAGTCTTTATTGCATCCACAGCAAAGTTTCTTTAATATTCGCCTAGTAATTGTGTTGTGCTTCATTTCCAATGTTGTCTTCAGAGACTTTTGTTTAAGGAAAATCAAAGTTTTAACACTGCAAAGTTCTTCGTATTGTTTGTTAACAGAATGTTATTTATAACCTCCAAACCGCATTGGGTCAGCATGGGGTGTCATGACCCATCCTTTTTAACCATCTATTTAGAAGGCTTGAGCCCCTACGTTAGGGACGTTAAAGACTGGTGATGAATAGTATTCTGACTAACTCGTGAGAGGTGTCACTTCATTTAAATTCTTATTCATTATAAAAATATAAACTTAAGATATAAGTTTTAGTCAAGTAATCAAGTACTCTATATACTAAGAATAAGAGTATTAATTTCAGCATTCCTAGTCAGTATGTTTGTAAGATGGGCTACTCATTTTAGGGCGTTACCTCTCTTCCAATCCATATCGGTATGTAGGTAAACGTATTATTATTAACTAACAATACATATATATTTTTTGGAAAAAAAAGTTATTTCTCTTTAAGAAATTTCCTCTCCAAGAGTGAAACTCGTATAAAAAATCAGGCCCGGGTCTACGATTTTTTAACCGGGGCAGAAACTTGATATTCCTCTCTCTCCCCTTACGCTGCGCGAATCCGGATAATATTATATTTTTGCAGTGTATGATTTTTTTTTCATTAAGGGATTTTGGAGTATGTCCTTCTCATCGTAGCATATGTGTATGAAGAGATTTGTAAAGCTCGTATGATGGGATCAGTGCCCCCACTTTCTGACGCAAGAATCGTGAAGTTTCTCATGGGAGTGTGCGTCAGTAAGCAACGGATAATCCATCTGGTGAGCAAAGTTTAATGTCATATCATATATTTATCTGGTATAATACGCGACGCATTATTCATCATACAATGCCGAGCTTTAGAAAGAGTTAAAAGTCTTAAACACTGGGAATGACAAAGACGGAGAATGAATTATTTATACTATGTAAGTATTAATTCCAAGCAAGTTTAACTGCTCTGCACACATGGAGAAAGACTAGCCATTGTGATTTCTATAAAGCATTAAAATAAATCGTATATTCAAAATTTATACACGTTGGCGAATTAAAAGATAGATCGTAAATAGTGCATAAAAATGTCTCGAAGTCGGTGAATAAATCTAAAGTATTTATCACATAAATTCACTTAAATATCACATTCTGAAACCAATAAAACGTGAAAGTGCCATGCCGTTTCCACTTTAATTACTCATTTGATCCGAATTACAATTCTATAAATAAATGATTAATTCAACTTTAATTAATTCAACATTTAATTAATTCAACATTAATTCAACTTTAGATAAATAAATGCTATGAATGAATATCAACGGACAAATAACACAGATAAAATCCCAGTTAAGAGTCACAATAAAAATAAATAATAAATCTACCGAAGGTATGATAAATAAAACAACTTTGTTATTTGCAACTGTTAATAAAACGACAATACATCCCCCACTTCGAAATGATTCATCAAATCAAGGAATTGAGACCTCTCTTATTATGTTGAGTATTATTCTTAAATATACAATGTAGAGCAGTTCTACGAACGATTCGAAAAAATACCGGTAAATAAACGGTCGGTTGCGCAAACAACCATGAAGGTTTAATGACGCCCTTAACCTCTAATTAATGTCAAATTTGTACCAGTAATGTCGGTTTAAACTAATGACAATTTTGATAGACGTTATGCAACTGGCTGAAAAATTCTCGCTCGGAGTGGAGTCGCTGCAGAAGTATTATAACCACTAGGATTAACTTAGTTAATTCCAAATCGGTGGCTGAGCGTCATACACCGTAGCTTTCAAGAACTATTTTTTTTTTTAATTACGATTGATAAGCTGCGAAAGTGGAAAGGTGTATAGTTAAGACAGAAAAATCGATCAAGGGGTGAAATCTAAATCTAAAAGAAATCAACCAATATTTTGAGCAAAAACAGTTTTGTTTTGATCTTTGATCGGGACCGAAATAATTTCAATTTCAAATAACTGAAAACTATGTAGAAAACCTATAAGATAAAGCCTGGTGACAGACGGATAGACGAACAGCGGTGTCTTAATAATAGGGTCCCGTTTTTTACCTTTAGGGTACGGAACCCTGAACACTATGGGGTACAAGCGTAAACGATAACTCACAAGTTCCTCAACTGGACACGCGTGGGAACCACACTATATTTTTCAATCAGTCTCCGATATCCCGGCGATACACACACAAAGCATTCCATCCATTTTGTGAAATACATCGCCTCCTTTCAACATTATAGTGTGAACAGGTCCCTAATCGTATATCTTTTACCGTCTTACACACTACAATAAAAATGAGCTTAATCTATACTAAATATTATAAAGAAAACTTATTTGTTTTTTGTTCGATTGTTTGTTTGTTTGCAACGAACAGGCTCTGAAAACAGGCGGTGAACATGGGCTATATTTTATCCCGAAAAACAGCAAATAAAGGGGTGAAAATGGGAGTATAGGGAATTAAAACGTTACCAACCATTGTTTACCATTCAATATGTTTTGTAATAAATTTTATCCGTCTCATGATATTATATAAATAAACAATTATCATCGGTAATAAAATAAAGAGTTCCCTAGCCATCACATACATCCCAAGTACAACACAAAGGATTATGGGAATTAAAACAACAAAAGTAGGTACTTTTGTTGTTTGATCAACACCCTGATCCAAGACAATAGGTTTAGAAAAGTTATTTTTCCAGATTGAGCCTGAGATGGTGGCGGTATTATGAAGGGCTTTTCGCGAATGGCCCTCAATGTTCTGCCCTAAGGTTTAACCTCTTACGACAGGTAAAACTGCAGGCCTTTTTTTAAACCCAGGAAAAATGCGTATATGTATATCAGGTGGTGGCTCGGTTGACAAGAATCCTCGAACCAGGACGTAGTACCTGCGTGCAGATCCACCGTGTAACTAGATTGGCTTCGATTTCATTATAATCGGATTAAATTGAATCCACTCTATGTTAAATACAATTTTCAATGCTTTCACTTTTGAATGCATTTGATCAATTCAATTAAAAAAATCTGGTAAGGCAGGTTCTAGTTGAAAGGAATTCACCCCTTCACAAGAAAATTAAACAAAATTAGTTACCTTGTATGTGAGCGCCGGTGGGTTCTGCTGGACGGCAATTCTTTCGAAGAGCGCATTGCAGAGCCTCGGTATGATGCCACCTTCGTCCGCTCCTGGAGCGCCCATCATAGTATACGATTTGCCCGATCCTGAGAACAAGATTAAAACCAGTATGAGCTAGTATAATATTTAATAATGTTTAACGATTCATTAATCTACACGAAACTCTAACTAAAGCCAGGGAAATAAGACGTCAAACAAAGAGTAAGGGCGTTACCTTATTTTCTCGAAGCGCTTCGTTTATTTTTGAACTCTCATAACTTGGGTCTGGCTTGTACCAGATAAACAATATTCTTGTCATAAAGGCCGCTTACATAAACAATACATACAAAATTATTACTACATAAAAATGGAACTCTTTACCAGTAGAACACAATTGGTTTCATCTGACTGTCAATTGTTTTCACATTGTAACGTTGTTTAAAAAATTGTGTAATTACAATAGAATGAACTTTGTTCGCGCGCAATTGCGATTATTTTCAAAGTTGTGTCTCCTTTTTTTTCTACCCGCAGCCTTTTCTCTCATGAACTATATTTTTCCTATTACCTTATGTCAGGATGGGTCCTGACATAAGTTAGTCGTCATGTACTGCCATTGCGTACTCATCACAATCGCTTCTATTATGTTTTTTAACTATTGTGTGTAATTTATCTTGGTGAATCTCATACTCAGACTGGAGACAAGCAGCTGGACGTCGTCAGATGGAATCCATCGGACCAAAAGTAACTTACCTATACTTTAAACACAGGTTTGGGAATTTTCGTGTTGCGCGTAAACTGAACCCGCTACTTTACCGGGTAAAACAGACCATTTGCTCAACCAGACTTCATTTTTGAAATTGAGGTAAATAATAGTTTAAAGTTCAAACCCGGTCCTAAAGTTAGTTCTCCTTTTATAATAAAATGGCAAATGTCATGGAAAACAAAGCAGTTATTTGTGTAATTTCTTATAAAAAATGACTTACTAAAATATTATATTAAAATTTCCAAAGAAATTGTGTCGTAAATGGCACTTAGCTAATGGACCGTCTTCTTTTCATAGAACAATACACCAGTAAATAGCAGTAAAATATTTAAAGTTCGTTTCAACTTTATAAAAAGGCAATCTCTTTTCATCCATAGCCGCGGAATGCTTAAAAGTTATTTAAAATCTATCCACTTAGTTATTTAAAATCTTAAAAAGTCTTGCAAAAAATATTTTTTATATTTACAGAAAACGTTCATAATAATATATAATGTCAATAATTTAACTTAGCTATTGGGTATATTCGATAACTTTGGCATGCACAAAAATTTATCAAATATAATAATCAGAACACATTTGAGCTGAATAGAAAGTTAAAATATTTGTAAAAACATCTGTTTTGGCTATTACATGGTAAACTGTTTATCCGTACATTGATTGAAATAAGCTCACTAGTGGCGCAAGTGACATGTGGTAATTTTGAATCCGTAAACTGGCTTTCGATTCCTTTGATTGCATAATATGGAAAGTCCATTTTATCGAATCTATTATCTCGAGTCTAGGTATTGTGGTACCTTCGTTTTGTCAGATTCTTAATAATATGAGGGGAGCTACTCGTCTTGGAATCTGAGCAATATATGTGATGATGTCTAGTATTTATTTATCTACATCTTATTCAAATTATTTTTTAATTCTACATTATCTCATTACCTTAGTTTAGTTATAAAATCGAGAGAATGTTTAATCCGTTCCATAATTAAGAGCGTAATCATATTATAATACTCATAAGAGTTCTGAGCATCGTCACCCTAAATTGTTTATAATATAACAATGCAAACAAAAAGGTCTTAATCAATGCCATCGTAATCCCAAAACCTTTATGAAATAACAATATAATCAAAAGTCACGTCTTAATCAGTATTTATTATTAACAAAAAACAATCCTCTTTGAAGCTTTCCATAAGATTATTGTTGGTTCTGTTATTTAACACGAACATTACATAGCTTCAAAGGAACAAAGAAAACGAGCAGCTCCCAGTCTGCTATTAACTCAAATGTGGCTTCAGAAATGTTAACATTTCATTGAGGGGTTAAATTACGTTGATAATATTAAGGCATATTGGATAAACGCTATTGAGTAAATGAACTAGCTAATAACAAACAGTTGTACTAAAATTAAATTTAATATCATATAATTAGACTAGACTGTTAGAAACACAAGTAAAAGTCGAAAACAATCCCACAGGTTCGCAAATCTATGACAGAAGACCTTTTACTGAGAAGGAACAGCAAGGGTCACCCTTGTCACGTAATTTCAAATAAAATTGAAAAATGCCTCGATTAGACGATTATTCATTTAGAATACGAGAAACGGTTAGTGGATCGGAATGGAACAAAGTATGTATACATACTTATTGATTATAGAAGCTTTCATTCATTTTCGTATATACGTGAGGGCGCAATTGAAAGAAACGAAAAAGCCGAGTGAAAAACTGAGTGGGTCCGTACTCAGTTTATTATGATAGTAAAAAGAGTTACTGCCCCCAGTTGTTGGCCACTTTTCTTGGATACAGATCGGGATAAACAACCTAGCAATAATATCCTCCTTCATCTCGACGACCCCTCGTCCCACACCGCCTGCCAAACGATTGATTATTCGGCTACGTCAAACGTGGATTTATGTATGGATGCCGAGGAAATCCCTTTCAAAATGCAGTCGAAGAGGTCCCAGAAGGTCAAGCGGGTAAAGTGCTTTTCTTAATGCAAGGTATTGATGTAAATAAACAATATTTAAAAGCAATGTAATAACACAATACACTCCTTTTTTGGGCAATCGCGTATGAACTAATAACTTACTACTTTTCCCAGTTTCTGATTTTCTAAGAACTTTCCAGTTTGACTTTCGTACATAAGAATAAGAAAAATCCCGCCTGAGCCGGTCAAAATTTACTCAGTTCAGAATAGTGATGTGCCGGATCGTTATAAATGTATATCCGCGGATACGGATCCGAATACGGATATTTGGTGTCAAGATCCGCGGATACGGATATGGATCTTTCTTTTCCGTCGGATATCCGCGGATACGGATACGGATATCCGGAACATCATTAAATCAGAAGAATCAAGATATGTTTGATCATACGCTTGGAGGGAGGAATAAACTGCATGTTCTATGAAACCACTTAACTACATAGACGAAGCCCTGATTAATCTGAGGTTCAACTACACAGTAGAACCGCGGGACAGACGCTTGTGACCGCTAGGCAATCGAAAGTCACAACGACCTAGAGAAATTTATCAAATACTAAAACTACTGATTCGAACACTTCTACAGATATTTTGAAAAACGTACCTAAAAGAATTAAAGATGCAATAAGCTCTCACAATCATCTTGGTCAACCACTTCAGCCAATTAACACAGAAATAAATTATAATACTGGGAGTTAAACAAGGATTAGAAGATTATCCAATCCACGTGGTGGAATGTTTTTAAATTCGTTAAAAAAATAGTTTTGTTAGCTATTATGTTCAACAATACTTTACATTCTTTTCACTTAAGTGTAATTGAGTGAACGTTTACATCAATATAAGACCGAACACGTAGTTCGTATTAACACAGAAACCGATAACCCGAGAGTGGGGTTTGCCACTAGCCGTCACTTGGAATGCGACAGGGAAATAAATTGAAAACTGTCTCCTCCGTCCGTCGGTTACACATAGTATACGGTGCAAGAAATACGATTTTGATCTTGAACGCCTACACTTGATGGGTTCACTGGTTTTGGTCTGGCAACTAACAGAGTTTATTTTACTGTAACTACTACTCTTCAGGAAGATAAAAAAAATAAGAAAATCAATTTTGATTTCTTACAGAATGTGAAAAATATAATAATATCAATACCAATACATATTATAAAAAGGTAAGTTTGTATGTTTGTTTGTAGGGAGTAATCTTAGAAAATATTCATGATCATGATCGGATCATTATCTATAGATTTTCATCTACGGGAAATTACATGATACGCGGATAATATCCACTATAATGTACGTGAACGAAGTAGCGGGAAAACAGCTAGTTTAATATATTAATATTCCTAAATTTTTGTTCTGTTATCTTAGTTATTTACACAATTACAAACGTTTGACAGGTTTAAAACCAAACTTTAGTCTAGTTTGTGCAACAGAATTGTATTACATTCAGTTAAATATACACACATATAGTAAGCTCCCAGGCAATCGGCACGATCTTTCTATCATCAATAATATTATTAGCGACTTAAGTCAAATTATTTTAATCAAGTTCAAGAAACCTTACATAATACACGTTAATGAAAACCGCAAGACAATAGATATGATAATTGTCCAGTTCATTACAAAACGATTTACCAAAATCTGCAATAAATTAAAAAAAAAAGGTTTCTATAAAACACGAATCAAATATGTACATAATCTATGTAAATTCAAAACGATAACCATCCTAGGGGACCGGCGATGTTCAAAATTCCATTCGGACACAATAGCAAGAAATAGCATGTGTAGGATTTATCGTCTTTTTATACGAAACTCGAAGCACCTGATGCCCTTCCAGCCGCAGGCACAATGACACAAACATTGCCAACCCTGCAAACTTCTATGCTTTGCCATAAAAGTATTTTCTTCAGATGGCAATAAAACTTGATACACAAGGTTTATTGCATTCAGATAGAAGTCGATTTCTAATGAATCGCAGTCATTTGTTTTAGAAAATATAAGATTACGTCATTCGTAATAAATGACATTTGTCCATTCTTGACGATGACAATAATCATTTTCGTAGCAAAAAATGATTCGTAGTATTGAATTACTTGTGACAACATCGCTTTAGAACCGTGAACATTAACAGGCGAAACCTTGAAGATAGTATAGAAAATTTACAAGTCGGTACTCGTATAATTGCAAATATTCATAAACAAGTCGGAAAATTTTAATTTTATTATTTAGAATTCAATCTACAGTCGTTTTAACTAACCGATATTAAAAGAAAAACTTTAATAAAATCTTGCAAAATAAAACAGTATGAGGAATAAAATGTACTTTCACTTTAATTTATTTAAAAGCATCATGTCATCGACTATATAATGAGTG